CTCCCTGACCTGAGTCTGCAAAGCCGCACCTGGAAAACAGTAAGTCTTTGGAAAAGGGAAGCTGTTAAGTAAAGTTACTTTACTTAACTTTGTGCACTTGAAGAAAGTGCACATTTTTCAAGTCAATTCGACTGTCTCCCTTTTTAAAGTAATTAATTTATATATTTTTTATAGATTGTCTTTGTTTTCATTTTTAAAAAATGAACTATGAGACCTGCTCAGGGAAGTTACAAAAGAAGAAATAATCAGGAAACAATAAATATATGCGAACGTGTGGACCTTAGTAAAAATCATGAAAATGCAAATTAAAATATACTGAGTACTAATTTTCCTATGTCAAATCCTCAAAGATGAGAAAACGCCCTGGTGTGGGCGGGGCTGGGAAACCGCTGTGGTTCGGGGTCGCCGGGCTGCAAAGAACAGAAACCCACCGTGGCAGTTAATGGGAGTCCACAACAGAGAACGGTAATTCGCTACACGCGAGGCCAGGGACGAGTAGGGAAGCTGGGAGGGACAGCTCTTCCCAATGGTTCAGAGACCCGCGGAGGCTGAGCGCGCCCCCTGCTGGCCTCCCGACGCCATTTTAGACGCTGCTTCCTACCTGAGCTTATGCTCCCGGGCTTGCAGGGCCACAGCTGTGCACACCTGTGCGTGGCCCATGTCTGCGTGGGCTGAGTGCCAGGCAGTTCTGCCAGTTTGATGCAGGGCCTGGAATTCTGCCAGCTGTGGGTCATCAGAAACCTCGGGGGCCGGGGAGGGGGGGACTGGGAAGCCTTGGGGCCCCCAGCACCCGCTGCCTGCCCCACTCCCACCCCTACCCCTGGCTCAGCACCTACCTGGCTGTGGGCCCACTGAACAGCCAGGTGGGAAACTCTTCTTATGTCAAAGTTGTTATGCAAGTAGTGTGTGCTGATTGTAGAAGAATTAGAAAACAGACAAAATAAAACACATAGGATAAGTTTTATCGGATTTCAGACCACCGCACTTCCCAGAGAGAACAAGTAAGTTTGTCAGACAGTCCTCCGGGCATTTTAGAAGCACATGGACAGGGAGTCTGTGACAGCCAGGCATGCTGGGTCATACCCACAAATAACAGAACACATACCCACTGGTCTTTGCCCCCCTGCCCCCACCATCCCAGCACAGGGCTCCCCAAGTGGTAAGAGCACGAGGAGTCACTTTCGTTCTGATATTTGGTCTTCGAGCTCTTATACCCCTTGGAATTTCCTGGGTAAAGGGAGTGTGTTTTGTTCTAATGAGCTGACTCTGGGCGGCTCCTGGATTGGGCTGGTTGCTGCAAAGCCCAAGCCATGGGGAGCCGCGGGGAGCCTTCAGCCCTGCCCCCATTCTCAGCGGTGACTCGGAGGTAATGTTGGGCCACACTGGCATGGTGAAGCCTCCACAACAATCCCAGAAACACAGGGTTCGGGGAACTTCTGGTTGGTAAACATGTCCAGATGAAGGTAACACAGCCACCTCTGCAGGGACAGAAGCTCCTGGCTCGGGACCCTTCCGATCTCTTCATCTAGCTGTTTATTCCTTGTTCTTTGTAATGGGCTGGTGATCTAGGAGGGAAGCTGTTAACCTCTCTAGTAGGGAGTCCTGTGCACCATTCTAATAAAGGTCAAATTCAAGGAGGGATCATAGGAACCCCAGTTTATAGCTGGTCAGTCAGAGGCAGAGGTGATGACCAGAATGTAAGATTGGCATCTGAAGTGTGTGTGTGTGTGTGTGTGTGTGTGTGGACGGAGTTGAACTGTAGGACACCCAGCTGGTGTGGAAACCCACACATCGGTGTCACGGTGCTGGGTGAGAGCAAAGGAGGACACAGCAGTGTTTTCCGAGACAAGATCCCAGCACTGCTGTTCATTAGCTGTGCAAACTCGTGCAAGTTGCTTGATCTCTCTGCGTCTCTATCGCCTCCCCAGCAAGATGGGAACAAGGATGTCTTCCACTGACAGAAGTGTCCTGGGCATCCATGATGCCCTGTCCAGTGAGGTACCTGGAACAGTGCCTGTAAGGTGCCTGGTAGACAGCACCAATCACATTACATGTATGTGTCCATGCTTAAACACATTTTATTATTAAGCCCTCACTGGTGTGGCTTGAGTGCCAGTCTGTGAACCAAAAAGTCTTTAGTTCCATTCCCAGTCAGGGCACACCACACATTGGTGTTTCTTTCTCCTTCTCCCACCATTCCTCTCTGTCTAAAATTAAATAAAATCTTTAAAAAATTAAATAAAAACATGTTATTATTAAAATTCCTAGCATGTGCAGAAGTGGAGGTGTTACCCTGAATCTCCTGCCCGTTACTAGCATCTTAGTTATCCACTGATGGGTCTTTGCAGATCAGGGAAGGTTGGAAGGTGGGAAGGTGACCCACCTGGCACGAGTCACAGAGTCTGTCAGAGTCCAGAGCCGAGCCTGAGTCAGAGCTGTGGACTCAAGGTAGCGGGGTGAATAGTGGCCCCAAAATTCAGGTTCATGTGGGTCCTCGAATGTGACCTTATTTGGAATAAGGATCTTTGCATATGTAATCAAGAGTGCCAAGATGAGGTCATCCTGAAGTAGGATGGGCCCTAAACCCTGCAATTGGTGCCTCTATACGGAATGGAGAAGATCCTGAGGGAGGGCACCCATTAGAAGTGGGACAGAGGTTGGGGGGATACAGCCAGAGCCTAGGAAGACTGGCAGCCCCTAGAAGCTAAAAGAGGCAGGAAGGATCTTCCCCTCTACCCACCCTCCCCCATCCCCTCGTTGACACTTCAGTCTTAGACTCTGGTCTCCAGAACGTGGAGAGAATACATTTCTGTTCTTCTAAGCCACCTAGTTTGCAGTAGTTTGTTACAGTGGACACGGGACAAAAATACACCAGACACCAAGGACTGAATTGTGTCCTCCCAGATTCATATGTCGAACCTTACCCCGCAATGCATTTGGAGATGGGGCCTTAGGAGGTAACTGTGAGAAATCAGTTTCTGTTGTTATGACAGCAAGCCATCCAAACCCACAGGGATGCTGGGGATATCTCAGGAAGGCCCAGGCCAGCACTACAGGCTGGTGCCTTGGGGCCAGTGGCCCTCAGGAGCTCAGCCCAGCATGGTCAGCAGTCTGACCACATGCTCGCCAGAATGCTGACAAGCAATCCTCAGGAGACTGAAACTGACCAGAGGAGCAGCCCACCAGCCTAGGCAGAGCTCTGACCCCACAAGCCAAGGACAAGTGGAAACGGCACTGAAGGGAACATCGAAGAAAGTGCCCTGCAAAGGTCGTGAGGACTTAAAAATGACCCCTGGGGACCCTGGCGCTGGAAGTGGGAGCAGGAAACAGATAAGATTCATCTTGGAAAAACGTAAGCTCCTACACCTGGGATGGGGAGGCAGACTGGAAGGGGCCAGTCAGAAGCTCATCTCTGCTGCCTCTCTGACTTTTGGGGGTGGTCTTGGTGTGGGGAGCAGGAAGCTGGGGCTTAGGCATTTGGGACTCCCAAGCCAGGGGTTTTAGAAATAGAGGGCTGAGGTCTCCCTCTGCTTCCCACGTGGCTGGACAGCAACCTGGTGGTGCAGGCAGGAGAGGAGAGGAGCGCACGCCCCTGGCCTTGCCTGCTGGTGCTGGGCACTGTCGGTCACCCCACCCCTTCACAGAACCTCTCTGCACCTGTGCAAGGCCCCGTATTCCTCATTTTTGCAAGTTGCCCAGTGTTTTAAGTACTCCGGTGTGATGAGCTATTAAAAGCTGCCTCTGCCTCCCCAGGACAGAAACCAGAGGCAGAGGGCGTTTGAAGAAAATGGTCTCAGGGGATTGGGGGCTGCTCCCCTTGGAGAGGTGAGACCCACAGATGGGGAAGAGGCTCTGAGAGCTCCCCCTTCCCTGAAGGCAAGAGGAGACATGGTGGGGGGCAGTGAGGGAGAGGTCCCAATTCTGGCATCCTGGAGTGTATCCAGGGTCCCCAGAGGGCAGGCTGGGAGCTGGTGTGGGGGGCTGAGTCCTGGGCCCACCACACGTGGGGTGATGGAGGAGAGGGCTGGGACAGGGGTCACACCTGGCTGTCCCACCTGTCTGAGCACGGCTACACTGCTGAGATCAATTCCAAATAGAGGGCTGCAGAATGAGGGAGCCACACAGGGACATTCAGTAGTTCCCAGACGTCAGTGTTCCCAACCTGATTGGCACGTTCAGCATGACCCCAACCTTGAAAAAGGAATTGCTGGGTGAGATTTTTGGTTTTGTTGGATATGGTTCCAAACTGGTTTCCAAAAAGTCTTTCCTACAAATTGCCAATTCCCTCACACCTTCAACAAGTGTGATCAATTTTTTAAATGTTTGACAATGCAACAGGCGGAGAAGTCTCACTTGTATTTGCACTTCTGTAATGATTAGACAGGTTGGGACACATGGCATGAGTTTATGAGCTATGTATCTTCTGTGAATTGCCCGTTGTTTCTCCTGCCAATCTTTCCACTAGATTGTTGCCTTTTCCTTATTTATCTGACAATTTCATAATTACATGAACTAGACTTAATTTCAAAATGTATCACTTTTCCCTCTGGTTTGATTCTTAATTTTATTTTTTGAATATTAAATATTTTACTTTAAAAAAAGATTTTATTTTTAGAGAGGGGAAGGGAGGAAGAGAGGGAAACATCAATGTGTGGCTGCCTCTCGCACCACCTACTGGGACCGGCCGGCAAACCAGGCATGTGTCCTGCCTGGGAATCAAACCAGCGACCCCTCTGGTTCGCAGGCCAGCGCTCAATCCGCTGAGCCACACCAGCCAGGGCTCCTTGAATACATTTTAAATTTGTGTGTAGTCGTTTATCATTCTTCTCCTTCGGTGTTTCTGGTTTATTGTAATACTTAGACTATAAAAACATTCGTCGCCTTCCCAGTACGTACTCTGTTTCTTTTTTAGATTTCAAATTTTGACCCATCTGGATTTTATTTTGATGTCAAGGAGTGAGGGAGGGGGCCGAGGCAACAGGCTTCTATTTTTCCAGAGGGCGGGCCAGCTGTCCCATCGCCGATCAATTGAAAACCTCGGTTGGAAGCAGCTGCGGTACCAGCACATTTCAGGCTCCGGCGTCTGCTCAGCTGCGCCGTCCTGGGATCCCCGCCGCCAGGTCTCTGCAGCTAGCGGTTCTGCCAGGGTCAAACGTTAGGCCCGCCCCCCGCGACCCCGCCGAGGACCGACCCCTGACTGCCCACCCGGGACCCCTTGCAGCCAGTTAGTTCTCTGGTCCCGGGGGTCCAGGAGCGGACGCGGCATACCTGAGAGTAATTTAAATAGAAGTCCTCTTAATCTATTTGCATAGAGGCGGGGCTTCTGGCGCCGAGCGACCAAGACACCCAATCTCGTGGGACTTCCACCAAAGCCTTTATTTGCATGGGGCGGGGCCTGCCTCCGGGCGTGAAGCCCCGGGCTATTTCCCCTGCCCCTTTCCGCGCGGCTTCTTTCCGCCTTCCTTCCACCTTCCTTCGGGCCCTGCTGCCTTCCGTCTGTCTTCGACCGGCACCGCCCGAGGCTTAGGCATGATGCTCCCCAGAAGGCGGCGGGCACGGGTCGAGGACACCGGCAACTTCTTCGAAGTGCACTTCCCTGGCGTAGCCATCTACCTGGCGGAACCGCGCATGGGCCGCAGCCGCCGGGCCTTCCTCACCCGCCTGGCACGGTCCAAGGGCTTCCACGTGCTGGACGCCTACAGGTGCGTTGTGGTGCGGCAGCTCGCGGCCGGGCAGTGAGGGCCGCCAGGAGAAGGGGCTGGCAGGTCTCTCTGAGAAGGTGAAGACTGAACGGTGTGCACCAGACAGAGCGAAGGCCTGTAGGAGAGGAGCGAGGCAGGGAGGAGGGCAGGCCCACTGGGCGAGGGCTCCAGGCCTCACCCTCTCTTCCTTCTGCCCAGCTCCGCAGTGACACATGTGGTGATGGAGCAGACTTCAGCTGAGGAGGCCATCTGCTGGCAGGAGAGCAGGGCGGCCCTGGCCCCAGGCTGTGCCCGCCCAGCGCTGCTGGACATCAGCTGGTTCACAGAGAGCATGGCAGCCGGGCAGCCAGTCCCTGTGGAGAGCCGGCACTGCCTGGAGGTGAGCTGGACAGAGGAGGAACATAGGGCCACAGAGGAAGGCCTGCTGCAGGGGGCAACTCCGCTGGGACAGGTAGCAGGCAGCAGGGTCCAGAGGAGACTGGCAGACAGGTCTCCACCCTGATGGCCAGGCTGCCCACCTCCTGTTCTCACTGTTGCTGCAGACTTCCTTGGGTTCACTCGTTCTTAGCGTCTTTAGTTAGGCCTGTCTTGTTCACCAAGCACATGACCGTGACCCCTAAGTGCGATGACCCGAGGGCCAGCGGGAGGCCTCTTCCTGTCCCCATGGATCCTGGGTGAGCCGAACAGGGAGGCAGGCAAGGGCTCCTGCCTGGCCTGTGAGCCATGTCCCTGTCTGAGGGGGGCATGGCAGTGGGGCACATGTGGCATGTGCCTCGGCAGGATAAGTGCCCCATGAGGGTGGCAGGTAATGTCACTACCACCCCTCTGGCTGTTGTAGGCAACAGATGAGTCAATGCACGCTCTCGGAGATGAAGATAGGTTTCAAAGATCTCTAATTTTATTGATTACAAAATAATAGTCTAATTATAAATTTGGTGGCCAAGCTTTACCTGCGCAGGGGCGAACCCTCGGGGTGTCCAGAGACACGGTGCCCAAAAAGGGCTGCAGATGAGAGTCGCGCCTGGCTCACAGACTAAGGGGTTCTTATAGGGCAGAGCAAGCGAATGCGGGGTTACAGAAGCAGATGTGGCAGTTAGCTATTAGCCAGGTTGCTAAGTTAGAAAAACGGCGAAAGTCTCTAATTGGTGGTTGGGAGCTGGGGTCTTATCTGGCGGGCCTTGGTCAGTTACCTTATTTGGCTAGGAATTTTAACCCAGCCGTTCCCTGACATTTATTTATTACCCAGTCTCAGGAACTGCAGATGCCTAACGGCTGTTTGTATGTTTCTACTACTAATGGCTATTACACTGGCCTGAAGGGTCATTGTCAGTTTGCTTTGTAGGGCAGCACTACCTTTGGCCCAGGCCTCTGGTAGTGCTGCCCATCAGAGTTGGCTCCTCCTGTCCTGTGTGCCGGAGAGCCGCAGGTGACTGCCCAGGAGAGGCGAGGCTTCGGGAGCTGTCAGCCCTGCACCTCCAAGTGGTCTGTTCATTGCCTGTCCCTAGGAGGCTGTGCCTAGGAAGAGGCTGCCCGGCCCAGTGAGGATGCCACCCTATGCCTGCCAGCGCTCCACACCCCTCACACACCACAATACCAGCCTCTGGGTGAGCCACGGCCCCGCCTGCTCCTGTGAGCACTCCCCGTCCCTCCCTGCCTTGTTGTGTCCCACCCTTGGGGCAGGTGCGCTGGGCTGGAGGGATGGGTGAGGCTCCCACCAGTCTTGATGTCATGGCTCATAATGGCTCCTCCCTGCAGGAGGCTCTGGAGGTGTTGGCAGAGGCAGCGGGCTTCGAGGGCAGGGAGGGCTGCCTCCTTGCCTTCTGTAGAGCGGCCTCCGTGCTAAAGGCACTGCCCTGCCAGGTCACAGCCCTGAGCCAGCTGCAGGGACTGCCCCACTTCGGAGAACATTCCCGCAGGGTCGTCCAGGTAGGTGCTCCCCACTCTCATCAAGGCAGACTTGTGAACCCAAGTGGGTGTCCAGGAGCCGGGGCCCAGTGACTGCAGGTGGGTCTGGTTCAGCTTGGCTGGGGAGGAGGTTGCAGGATCCCAGGTGGGCACAAGCCTCCCTGCACCCAGCCACCCCATGTAAGTTAGGGCTGCACCACTTGCTCCAGCTGGGCTGAGAGGACTCCAGCTGCAGGCTGGTAGCTGGCCCTGCTGGCGTCCTCCCAAACTGTCTGGGATGTGGCAGAGAAGCCGAGCTGGGCACGAGTTTTAAGCACAGAGTATTTGAGGAAAGTTGGGGTTTTGTCCATGTCACTGGGACAGGACATCATAACAAAAGAGACTTTTGAATTCAGTCACCCGTTTAAAGGAAGTTACACTGAATTCATCACCTATGTTTTTTAAAATGTTACTTTTATTAATATATTTTGATTATGCTATTACTGTTGTCTTTTTCCTCTCCACCTTGCACACCCCTCCCACCCACATTCTCCCCTTTAGTTCATGTCCATGGGTCATACATACAAGTTCTTTGGCTTCTACATTTCCTATACTATTCTTAATCTCCCCGTCTATTTTCTACCTACCATTTATGCTACTTATCCTCTGTACCTTTTTCTCCTCTCTCCCCTCCCCACTCCCCTGTTGATAACACTCCATGTGATCTCCATTTCTGTGGTTGTTCCTGTTCTAGTTGTTTGCTTAGTTTGCTTTTGTTTTTGTTTTAGGTGTGGTTGTTAATAACTAAGTTTACTGTCATTTTACTTTACACGTTTTTTTGTCTTTTTCTTAGATAAATCCTTTTAACATTTCATATAATAAGGGCTTGGTGATGATGAACTCCTTTAACTTGACTTTATCTGAGAAGCACTTTATCTGCCCTTCCATTCTAAATGAAAGCTTTGCTGGATAGTCATCTTGGATGTAGGTCCTTGCCTTTCATGACTTTGAATACTTCTTTCCAGCCCCTTCTTGCCTGGAAGGTCTCTTTTGAGAAGTCAGCTGACAGTGTGATGGGAACTCCTTTGTAGGTAACTGTCTCCTTTTCTCTTGCTGCTTCTAGGATTTTCTCCTTCATTTTAATCTTGGCTACTGTAATTATGATGTGCCTTGGTATGTTCCTCCTTGGGTCCAACTTCTTTGGGACTCTCTTAGCTTCCTGGATTTCCTGGAAGCCTTTTTCCTTTGCCAGAACAAGGAAGTTCTCCTTCATTATTGGTTGAAATAAGTTTTCAGTTTCTTGCTCTTCCTATTCTCCTCCTGGTACCCCCCATAATTCGGATGTTGGAACATTTAAAGATTTCGTGGAGGTTCCTAAGCCTCTCCTCATTTTTTTGAATTCTTGTTTCTTCATTCTTTTCTCGTCGAATGTTTCTTCCTTCTGGTCCACACCATTTATTAGAATCCCAGTTTCCTTTCCATCACTATTGTTTTCCTGTACATTTTCCTTTATTTCACTTAGCATTGCTTTTTTTCATCTAATTTGCGACCAAATTCAACCAATCCTGTGAGCATCCTGATTACCAGTGTTTTGAACTGTACATCTGATGGGTCGGCTATATCTTCATAGCTTAGTTGTATATTTCTGGAGCTTTGATCTGTTCTTTCCTTTGGGCCAATTTTTTTTTTTTTTTTTTTGGTCTTGATGCACCTGTTATGTATGAGGGGCGGAGCCTTAGATGTTCACCAGGGCAGGCAACCCAGGTCTCTGTGTTGTGACGCTGTCTGTGGGAAAGAGGTTGACAGGGAACAATAATGCTTTCTCCTCTCTCTGCTGGATTTCAGTCCTTCCCCCACTTCCCACAAACAAAGTGGGCCCTTCTGGTGCTGATTCCCAGGTGGGTGGGTCTGTGTAGGTTCTAACACCCTGTGGGTCTCTCTAATGAACTCTCCTGTGAGGTTGGGAATTTTCTCCTGCTGCAGCCTCAACCCTCACAGGTGTTTTCAATCAGCGGTTTGAGGCTTTATTTCCCTGTTGGGACCCCAGGTTTTGAGGTCCGTCTTGTTCCCCAGGTGTTCCTTCCAGTTTATCTGCACGTGAAGGTGGGACCACAGGCTCCACCAGCCTCCACCTTGCCTGCCCCAGTCCTCCACCACCACTTTGCCAAGAGTCCTCTCCGACTGGCTGTCTGTCTCCACCCCTCTTACCTCTTTGGTTGTCGGACTTCTATACAGCTCGATTTTCTGTCAGTTCTGTTTATTTTATTTTAATTGTTGTTCAAGTACAGTTTTTTTACTTCCATCCCAGCCTACCCCCTCAGCCCTCCCCACCTCCCTCCCATTTCCACCCCCTCCCTAGTTTTTGTCCATGTGTCTTTTATACTTGTTTCTGTAAACCCTTCCCCTTTTCTCCTGAAATTCCCTCCCCTCTCCTTTCTGGTCACTGTCAGCCTGTTCTCTATGTCAGTGTCTGATGGTTTTTGTTTTTAAATTGTTGTCCTTCTTTTGGTTGTGCAAGGAGGCACAGTGTGTCTACCTATGCCTCCCATCTTGGCCGGAAGTCCATCATCTATGTTTTGGAAAGGAAGTGTTTACATATATTGGGACTTACCTGCGAGATGAGGCCAGAAGCTTTGGGGGACAATCTTTATTTTCAAGTCCCTCACTTCAGAGCCCCCTGCTGAGGGTGGGGTCAGCGGGTCTTCAGCCCCATCCCTGCTCTGTGGTCAGGCTGGGCTTTGCTTTGTCTCGGCCACAGGAGCTGCTGGACCGCGGAGTGTGTGAGGAGGTGGAGAGAGTCCGGCTCTCAGAAAGGTACCAGAGCATGAAGGTATGCACAGGGCAGACCCCAGCGGGGCTCACAGCCCCTCACCGCTCCCCAGAAGGAACTGCCCGGGGTCAGGTGGTCTCAGGAAGTCTGATATGTATGAGGCAGCCAAGCAGACCATGAGGAGAAACTTGTTTCGAGCACAGAAGTGTTCTAGATCACTCAGCTCTACCTGTCCTTGTTGACGGAATAGTCTGCAGTGTTACCTGTTCTGTCACCTTAAGCAGAGGGCCTGGCAAATGTGCCGCAGGGATGACTGAGTTCTGGCTGCTCAAGGTGCAGTGTTCTGTCCTCCTGACCTCATGTTCTGACATCTCTGGGTCATTTCACCTGCATCCATGGCACATCCCTCCTCTGCCCCCTCACCCTGGGTCTGATGCAGAGCTGCTGGTGCCCAGTGCCCTGTCCCGCAACTGTGACACCCTGCTTTTGTGCTGGAGGTCGTCAGATGGGTGACTTGTGGGACAGTGGGGCTTCCCCGGGGGGTTACCAGATGTTGTGAGGATCAGGGAGTCAAGGACAGGAGGAGCCATGTATGAAGGATGGAGGGGCTCAGGTAGGTGGCAAATGGGGTGTGGGGGCAACTGAGGAGCTGGGGAGTGGGGAAGCATGGCCATCTGCCTCCTCCTCCTGGGTACCCCATGTCCCAGAAGGCATCCAAGCCTGCAGGGAAGTATGTTAACAATTACTTCTATAAACAATGCCAATGGCTTATTCTCTGCACTTTTTCTGGGAGGACTCTGTTGGTGACAGTGACCCAGCCTATGCTGTTGGCTAAGGGGATGAAGGGGGAGGTGTGGTCGACACAGCCCGGGGGCGGGGGGAGGCTGCAGCGGGTCTGGGCTGCAGGAAGCAGGGCTTGGGCACCTCCTCTGCTGCCACTGCCCCCACCAGTCTGGCCTGGCCCCCAAAGGTGCTCCTACCACACTTTACTGCCTCCACCAGGGAGAGCTGTGGAAGATAGGAAGTCACCCTGGGAGAGGTTGGCTCCAGGAGGGCCACCACCTCCCCCACCCCACTAGGGTGTCTGTGGACTGACCGATGGCTGGGCAGTGAGGTGAGCTGTGGGGGAGTCACCCAGGCCTGCGTTCCCTCCAGCCCGTCGTGTGTGCATGTGTGAAGGATAGGACATGTGGTCAGATCACTGCTGGAGGCGAAAGCTGCACACATGCTGGGGGAAACCTCTCTTAGAGAGCAAGGGCCTGACAGGCTGTGCCCACCCTCCCAGCAGCTCTTCACCCAGATCTTCGGGGTTGGAGTACGGACTGCTGATCGTTGGTACCGGGAAGGGCTGCGGACACTGGACGACATCCAGGGGCAGGTGCAGAGACTGACTGAGCAGCAGAAAGCAGGTGACCCTCAGGGAGGCTGTACCTCAGGCCCCCCAGAGCACTTGAGTCTGTGCTTTTCCCACACCCAGTGCTGAGGCTGCCTCTGCAGGCATGGGGGCAGAGTGACCTGGTGGTAGGTGGCATCTGTGGAGGGCTTCCTGGGGTCCCCACCAGCTGCAGTCAGGATCCATGGTAGCTCTGTCTCAGTGGACAGTGATGGTCACAGCAACTAATGTGACATCAGGACCTCCTGGCTAGACTCGGACTGGACCAGGCCTGGGCTTCTTACTCCTGAATAGCATGTGCTCAGTGTCCTGGCCTGCCGGCCAATGGTGCGGGGACCTGTGTGGTAGGGAGGACAGTACCTTTAGAGCTGGTTAGGCCTGGGTTTGAGTACACCTCCCTGATGTTCTCTGCGAAGGGTGGGAGGCTGCAAGCACCTCTGGGAGCCAGCAGGTCACAGGTGTTAAGCAGAGTTCATGCTGGGGTGGGTGGGAGCCCTGCTGGATGAGCCCCATGGCCCAGCCCCATGGCCCAGCCCCCCACCTCTTCAAACATCTTCTCAGGGGCTAGAGGAAGGGCAGCCTCCCCAGGGGCCCATGAGACTTGCCTGGTTGGTCGGCAGGAAGTGAAACCCATAGAGCTGGGTCCTGTGACATGGCACAGGTGAAACTGCCAGCAGTGCTCACTGCAGCTGCCAGCAGCTGCCACCGCCCACTGGAAGCCCTCCCGCTATGGGTGGAGGGGCAGCGATTTCTGACAGAGGTGGCCGTGTGCTCAGGCTAAAGTGGTGCTTGTCCCCCAGCAGTGGAGCCAGCTTCCTCATGTCCTCTGTTGGCTTCTGGCCCCACTGCACTGCTGGGAGGACGAGGCATTAGCAGGCTCTGGCCTGGCAGTCTCAGGACTTCCGTGGGGGCAGCTGGCTGGAGGGCACAGGGACCTCTGTTGTCTCTTTCAGCCGTACACAAACCCACAGTTACTCTGAATGAAGGACTGACATTTAAGAGGGAAGAGGGAATAGTGGAGAGAAAGGGCGGGCAGCTGGGTTGGTCAGGAGGTCCGTGTTGCCTGCAGGACTCCAGCACCACCAGGACCTGTGCACGCCGGTCCAGCGGCCTGATGCAGAGGCCCTGCAGCAGGTGGTGGAGACAGCCGTGGCACAGGCCCTTCCTGGGGCGACTGTCACGCTGGCTGGTGGCTTCCGGAGGTAAGGGGCCTGAGGTGGGCTCTGGCTCGGCTCCGAGGTGGGCTGCTGAGGTGGGCCTCCCTGCTCCGAAGGGCCTGGGCCAGCCTGGAAGTCAGACCTGCCTTTCAGGGGGAAGTTGCAGGGCCACGACGTAGACTTGCTCATTACCCACCCCCAGGAGGGCCAGGAGGCGGGGCTGCTGCCCAGAGTGCTATGCTCCCTGAAGCAACAGGTGAGGGCTGCCCCTCCTGAGGGTGCTGCTGGGTCCTGCCCTCCCAGGGCTTGGACAGTACCCATCATGCTCCCCCCCCCGCCGCCCACCCCACAGGGCCTTGTCCTGTACCAGCAGCACCAGCTCAGCCGCAGCAGAGACCCCACCCACCTGACCCAGAGGAGTCACACCATGGACACCTTTGAGCGGAGTTTCTGCATTTTCCGCCTGCCAAGACCCCCAGGGGCTGCCTGGAAGGCTGTGCGTGTGGACCTGGTGGTGGCTCCCATCAGCCAGTTCCCCTTTGCCCTGCTGGGCTGGACTGGCTCCAAGGTAGGCAGCGAGCTGCTGGGGCTGTCCAAACCCAGGCTGCAGCCCTGCTGACTCCTTGCTTTCCCCAGCATTTTGAGCGGGAGCTTCGCCAATTCAGCCGAAAGGAGAAGGGGCTATGGCTGAACAGCCATGGGCTGTTTGACCCTGAGCAGGTGTGTTGTCAGGGAGCCTGGAACCCACAGACAGGGCCCTGAGGGGTACCCCCCCCCGGGAGGGCTTTCCTCGCCTTTCTCAGGGAAACCGCCATGGCTGAGGGCTCCCAGGCATCAAGGCCCACCCTCCCGTTGCAGAAGACACTTTTCCGTGCAGCTGCAGAGGAAGACATCTTCAGGCACCTGGGCCTTGCTTACCTTCCCCCAGAGCAGAGAAACGCCTGAGCCCCTCTGCCAGCCCTGTGACACTCTGGGAAAAGGGGCCACTCAGCCAGCCAGGCCCACGGATGCCCCAAACCACTGTCTGCAGGCCAAAGACACTGCCCCAGCCCTCACCCTCCTGGGTGGAGCCTCCCATGTTCACCTCGCTCCCTCGCACACGGCCCACCAGGACACAATGAGGTGAGCCCACTGAGCAAACCAGGCTGTCTCCTGGAAGTGCTGCTGGGTGGGGCTGGCTGGTCTGCCCCATACCTGTCGGTGAGCTGGGGCGTCATTCGGGACTTGGGTAGAGGTTGCTCTGAGCCCGCAGAGCCGCTGAGGGGCACTGCCCCTCGGGCAGTCCGTGACCTGGGGTGCCTTTCCACTCATTTGGATCTCCCTTAGTTTTGCTGATGTTTTACAGTTTTCAGAATGTAAGTTTTGCATCTCTGTTAAATTTATTCCCAATTATTTTATTCTTTTGATGTTACTTAAGTGGAATTTTGTTCACTTTATCTTCTGATTGTTCACTGGTGGTGTGTAGGGATACAGTTGATTTTTGTATTGTGGAAGCTTGGTGTATGTTGTATTAAATATAATCATCTCTTGATGGATTCCATGTGACTCTGCACATAGGGCTGTGCCCAGGTGGGCAGCGTGCAGGAGGAGGCACGTTTGTGCTCAGGCCCAAGTCTCAAGGTAGCGGCCAGCCCCTTGCTGGCCTCCTGGTAGGGGAGGGTATGGTCACTGGGGCAGTGGGATGGGAGGAGGGCGCATCTGTGACTTGGTTTCCTCACAACCCCTGCCCCCATAGCCCGTGTGCCCCAAAACTGAACGCAGAAGCCCTGGGCCTGGACCCAGCCTTGGCCTGTCTATGTGCTAAGGTGGGCATGCACCTGACAGCCAGCCCCTCTGATGCTGGAGGCCTCTCAGGGGCACAAATCTTTGATTTCTTTTTCTTTCTAAAGATGGTTTCAGCTGGAAGGGGCAAGCCTGGCTTGGGTGAAGGCAGGTAGGATGGGAGAGTGGGACAGATGTTGACAAGACCTGGACAAAGGGACCCAAGAGCAGAGAGGGGATCCCTGCTCCCCTCTGGCCCAGGAAGCCAGGCCTCCAGCTCCCTGGTTGTCCTGGCAACACTCTGCCCTCCTTGGCCTCAGCCCTTTGTTCACACTGCCGCCTGCTTCCCTCCTGCAAGGCCACACCTCTCCCCAGGGCTGCAGCCCCCTGCTGCTCCCCTGTCCCAACTGGACTAGGGAGATGCTGTTGGCAGCCCTTCTGAGCCCAGCTGCTGGCCACTGGCTCCCGCAGAGACTCCTCCTGTGGGTAGAGCTGGGGCACAGGGCCACAGGGCCACCACACACAGGGCCAGGGGAGGGGTCACACTCCTGAGGGAGCCCCTGTCCCGATATGTAGCCCCCACTCTCGGGTAAGCAGAACCACAGGAGTCACACATGTAACACACACACACGCCCATCCACACACAGGCAGATACAAGTCCACAGACACACGTGCGCACACACATCCCTTGACTCCACATGTCTCCTCATGGACATGCAGGCTGAATGATGAGGAGAAAGCTGGCATTAGTGCATCGGGCCCCCTGGGAGGAGGGGTTGATGGAGATGGAGTCCCACACTTGGGGAGCCTTTCCCTGGTGAGCCCTCTGTACCTGCTAGCATCCACCTCTCAGGCTCATCGAGACCAGGACGTCTGCCCTTCCTGCCCAGCCTTGCCTGGCAACACCCCAGCCTGGGCTCGACTGAGGACTGGTGGCTATGAGACTATTTTAAGTCCCGCTCTCAGGCCATCCTCCCCCAAAGGCTTTGCTACTGGCCACCTGCCGCCGCCTGTCGGGCCTGGGCCTGGGCCTGGAATGCCCACTGGCAGTTGGCCAGGGTGGGGGCTGGGGCGGACTGTTATAAGCTGGTGGCACAGGGGCAGGCAACTGTCCTCGTCCAGAGCCTGCCTCGGTCCCTGCCACCGCAGCCATGTCCACTCACCGCCTCGTGATGGTCCGGCACGGTGAGAGCACCTGGAACCAGGAGAACCGCTTCTGCGGCTGGTTTGACGCAGAGCTGAGTGAGAAGGGGGCCCAAGAGGCCAAGAGGGGGGCCCAGGCCATCAAGGAAGCCAAAATGGAGTTCGACATCTGCTACACGTCAGTGCTGAAACGGGCCATCCGCACCCTCTGGACCATCCTGGACGGCACGGACCAGATGTGGCTGCCTGTGGTGCGTACCTGGCGTCTCAACGAGCGGCACTATGGGGGTCTTACGGGCCTCAACAAGGCAGAGACGGCTGCCAAGCATGGGGAGGAGCAGGTGAAGATCTGGAGGCGCTCTTTTGACATCCCGCCACCCCCCATGGATGAGAAGCACCCCTACTACAGCACCATCAGCAAGGTGGGCAGCTTGGGGGGGCCAAAGGGAAGGCCTGGGGTCAGGGGCCTCTGGAAGGGGGGTAGGGGGCTGTCTCAGATGTGAACTGCGGATGCCCCCAGGAGCGTCGGTATGCCGGCTTGAAGCCCGGGGAGCTGCCCACCTGTGAGAGCCTCAAGGACACCATCGCCAGGGCCCTGCCCTTCTGGAACGAGGAGATTGCCCCCCAGATCAAGTCCGGCAAGAGAGTGCTCATTGCAGCCCACGGGAACAGCCTGCGTGGCATCGTCAAGCACCTGGAAGGTGAGGTCACCCCAGGAGGGCTGTGGGGGTAGGTGGGTAGGGTGACACGAGTTGTGGGGCCTGTCACACTCATCTCCGCAAGTGCCCACCCACCACCTCGCTGAGGGGGCATAGCCAATGCCAGTGCTGAGGTTGGATTTTCAAACAATTCAACTGGGAGGGTTGGACAAACCATTTCAGACACAGCTTTGTAGAGTCTGGGTTTCATTTCCATGTGTCCTGAGACACTATGGAGTTTCCTTATGAAGACTAAGGTGAAAACACCTGCCACCTCTGACCCCTGGGCCAGGCCCTGCACAGGGCCTAAGGCATGGAGCTGGCCCAGCTTCCTGGAGGTGAGCCCTGGGCAAGGGGGTGGGGGATGCTGGGAGGGGCACCTTGCCAAGTCACCCAGGCAGGATGGCCTGCTCCCAATCTTGCTTTGCTGTGTGTCCCTGGTCAAGTCACATCACTTTCGGGACTTTACCACCCTAAGGCAACTCCTGGCTCCCCCGGCTGCTGGAAGGGGACCCAAGGCAGAGCCCTGCCCACAGCTTCACCCCTCCAGGCAGAGGGGAGACCACTCAAAAGGATGCAGGGTGGATGGTGGCCCGGAGACCTTGGCCTGTCGCTGGGCAGGGACAGGATGTGGGCCTCAGGGCTTTCAGGCAGCAGGAGTCTGTCAGCACCTGAGTGGCCTTCAAGCTTGTGGGGTCAGGGAGAGTGAAAGGCAGAGGCCCTAAACCTCCTGCCCCTGCAGGATGACGGGCAGCTGGCCAGAGCAGAAAGGTAGGCCGCTGAGGCCTGGCCAGCCCACCTGTCCTCCCCAGGGTGCCAGGTCCACACAGACACCTCATAGCAGGTGCTGGACCCAGCGGGTGGACAGCCCATGTTCCACGCCTTCTCCCTGGGGTCCCTGCAGCCCACATGCCTCTCAGCACACTGTGAACACGCCTGAAGGCTTCCACTGCCCAGGGAACTTGGGGAAATATCAAAGGGTGAGCTATTCCAGGCTGGGGACTGCAGGAGGCTGGTGGGTCGAGTTTCCTCAGAAATCACAGTGCTTTCCACTTGGCAGAGCCTCCTGGCCACCCTGCTGTCCCTCACCCACCTCGCTTCTTAAGAGCACCCCTAGGAACCAAACTGCTAGCACCCTGCCCAAGTCCAAACATCCTCCATCTGGCCAGAGGTCACACTGGGCCCAGGCCCATGGCACAACCACCCTCAGTTTGGGCGGCTATTTCTGTTACCGGAGGCCTCGGCTCTGCCTTGACCTTCTGCAGGCAGTTCTCGGCCTGGCTGCTGGGGAGGGCTGAGCCTGGTCGAGCAGCCATGGCTCGGAAAGGTCACAGAGCCTGCTGAACCAAGAGCAGCTGCTGCCCGGTGGCTGGGCCAGGAGGGGCTGAGGGGCTGTGGTTTCTCCGGTGCAGGGATGTCCGACCAGGCCATCATGGAGCTGAACCTGCCCACGGGGATCCCCATAGTCTACGAGCTGGACCAGGCCCTGAAGCCCACCAAGCCCATGCGGTTCCTGGGTGATGAGGAGACCGTCCGCCAGGCCATGGCGGCCGTGGCTGCCCAGGGCAAGGCCAAGTGACAAGTGGGCTCTGGCAATAAAGGCACCTCCTTGCACCTGAGTTCAGTGTGACCCACATGCCCATGTCCTCCCATCCTTGGCTATCAGGTGACTCCTGACAAGTCCCTATAGTGACCCCCAAAACCGAAGACCCACTTGGTAACCTCCTAGAGGTAACACTAGAATCAGGTGCCTGGGGTCACCTGGGTCGAGTTCCAGTGACTGAGCTGTCCCCACAGTGAATAAGCGCAGTAGTCAGGAACCCACTGCCTTTCCACGGGTTGTCCTCGGCTACCCCTGCAGGAGGTAGCACCCTGAGCTCTCGGCCCCTCCCAGAGAACTAAGTGCAGGAGGCTCACGTCACTCACATCTGAATCTTTATGCCTCTCAGGTGACTGCAGCTGGCCAGGCCGGGGTGGTGCATACTTGTGCGCGTGTGTGCGTGCACACACACACCCCACCTCCACTACCAGACACTGGGAAGGGCTTATTCCCATGGGTCTGTCAGGCTACAACAGGGCGTATCCGAGCTGGGGCCCGTGTGGGGCAGTTCTGACCTGAGCATGGTGGTGGGCCAGGAGCTGGGGGAGACAGCAGGCCAGAGTGCTTCCACACCCAGACGGGCCCGGTTGTCCATGTCCTGCCACACACAGCCCACAGCCCATGCAGAGCAACAGAGCAGCCAGAGCACCGAGCAGGGCCTAGGAAGACCAGCTCCTGCAGCCTGACCCTGACTCTGCTCATAGACTGCTAAGTCGACAGTCCCCAGGTTTGACAGTGGTGGCTTCAAGGAACAGGAAAAAGGCAGGTGCCCCGCTGGCTGGGACTTCGGGAAGCGTGTGTGGGGTGTCCAGGTTTTTGCTGCCTCTGAGGCCTGTTCCTGGAAGAGTGTTGTGTGCAGCCATCACGGCTGCCTCCTCCAGCCACGAGGCCCCATGGGCGTGGGGGAGGCAGGCCTTCACTCAATGAGCTCCACGTAGTTGGCAGGAAACATGCCAAAGTGGCCGTCAGGCCCATAGCCGCGCCACCAGCCTTCATCGATCACTTCGATGCCCGTGATGAGGTTCTCAGGGTCAAAGGAGATCTCGGTCTCGTCAGCTGCAGGGAGGGTGAGTCCAGACACTGCACTGGGGGCTCAGGGGGCCCTGGTGGACCCAGCACCAGCCCCCAGCCCAGCCTGTCCCGAAGCTTCCCCAGTGGCCTTTCCCCGGACATACCTTCCCACAGGGTCTGGCTCTGAGCTTGCACTCCAGCAAACACTGGAGACAGCATTTCCTTCCCTGTGTCAGCCTGTGCCCTGAGGCCACCACCCAGAGCCGCCTCTGTGCTCCCACCTTCAGGCTCTACAACTAGGCTGAAAACTGGGATTGACGCTGTGGGCAGCAAGGACCTGTCTGGGGCCCACAGAGAGGGCCCACCCCATTGAGAACCAGCAGAGAGAGAACCAGCTGGTTCTCATCTTCCCATCTTCTGACACCCCCTGGTGTCAGGACCCTGAGAACCAGCTCCTGTCCTAGGTCCTGTGGTCTTGGGGGCACATTACCTGCCTGGTAGTCATATAGGGCCCGGGCACAGAGCCCCTTCCCACTGGACCCAGGGTAGTGGCCCATGTGCACAGAGCCGGCGTCTGGCTGCTGCTCCTGGCATGGGTGGATAGGAAAGAAGTTGGGTCCTGGTTACCTTGGCCAGCCCCTGGCAGGGCTCCCATCAAGCTGGCAGGGAGGGCATGGCATGTGGGGGCGGGGGTCCTCCCCAACCACCCTTCCCACATGACCACACGGTTCTCGCCACACGTCTTGTCGCACAAGCAGCTCCAGACAACCCGCAGGGAGTGAGCCTCACAGGGGAGGCCTGGGAGGCTGTGTGAGGGCACAGACCCTCACAGCTCTGCCCTGCTGCAGGGAACTCACCATTGGGGGCTCCTCGTAGAGGGTCTCCTGCTCTGGAGGCTCCTCATACACAGCCTCCTCTTCTGCCTGTATCAAGCCAGCAGGGGGGCTGGGCGCCGGCTCCTCATGGAGGCCTGCATGAGAGGATGCTGTTGGCTCTGGCCCTGGGGAAGGGAGAGGGCACCCCACCTGCCTCCCCCACCCTGGCCCCCACAGAGCAGCAGAGAGTCTTGCCTGCTCTGGGCCTTGAGGTGGCGTGAGCTGACTCCCTGCCGAGGGGGTTCTCTGGCTGAGTGAGCTGCTTCTGCAGGAAGGGGCTCCTCAGTTTGCCTGCAAACCAACAGTGATGGGGCATCTCACAGCGGGAGGCAGAAGACCAAGGAGCCCCTGACTTCTCTGTGCCCTGCCCAGAGGATGGGCCTGTGCCAGGGCGGTGGCTGCATACGGGGAGTGTGTGGGGATAGCACACACACCCCTTCACACTCTCAGCAGCCCCTCTGGGGCACGTGCAGTGTGAAAACTGGCCTGGAGGACTGGTCCTGTGTCCTTTCAGGGCCAGAGGTGAATGATGGTGGCCCCAGGACCCCAGATGACAGCCCAGTGCAAGCTGGACAGGGGCTCATGAGACCAGGGCTATGGGGTCTCCAGTCCTTCCCACCAGGTCTCTACAGGACAAGGTCAGGGGCAGGAGGACACGCCTGGGTCCCTTCCCACAAGCTGGTCTCATGAGTACAGGCTCTCCTGGCTCACTTGCCTGTCACCATCTTGTCATTCCCAGTGGGGCACGGAGAGCGTCTCACCTGGCTGGGGGCCAGAAGCGGCTGTGGTAGACAAGGCTCTCTCCTTCTGCTTGAAAATCTCCTGTGGGTGAGCCGACTGCTGAGCAGGCTCCTGGGGATCAAACAGGCCCCACATGGGTGGGGACCCAGGAGCCGCAGCCTGCCCAGCCCCACAGTGGTGGGGCTCACAGGCCCCCAGGACTGGGCTGAGGGCTACATTGGGAATTTCTGTCCTTCATGCTCCTCTCTAAGACCACCTCTGATGTACCCAGGTCCCCAACTGCCCCAGCAGCTGCAGGACCCCAGGCACCCCCTCAGGCCACAGCAGCTCCCCCGGGTGCCACCACGCCACGTGCCACAGGCCCTCTGGGTCAGAGCACCCAAGTCTCACCTGCTCCTCTCTGCTCCTTGAAACCACTTCCTGCTGCTCATACTTCCTGCTGGGAAGACAGAGGGCACAGCTGAGCTTCCACCTGCTGACCCCCCCCACCCCCGAGGGCAGCCCCACCTCCCTGCGGGCGCACCTCTGGCCTTGCTCCTGGTAGCGCTGCTCCCGGATGGCGGCCTCCCTCAGCTCCCGTTCCCGCAGCTCCTGCTCCAGCCGCTGCCGCTCTTGCTCTGCCCGGCGCTTCTCCGCGGCCCGGCGCTCCTCCTCCTCCTCCTGCAGGAAGTGTGTTCAGCCCCCACCCAGTGCAGAGGTGTCTCGAGTGACACTCCTGGCCTCTCTCTCTGGGGTGCCCGGCTGTGCATGGCACCAACCAGAGCATGGCTCCCGGAGCTCATGAGAAAGCAAGGACAGGGAGGAAGACGCTCACTGCACACCTGGTGCAAGCCGGCCTCCCCACACACGCCCTCGATGCTGGAGGGCCTGCTGCACTCACCTCTGCTTTGGCCCAGAAACTGTCTTTGCCAACCCTCTTAATCTCAGACACGGCGTTGGTCTTCTGGTACACAGAGCCCTGTGGGGACAGGGGACGCAGTGCTGGGCCAATAGCAGGAGCTGTGAGGACAGCGCCTGGTGGGTGCATTGTCCCTCAGCCCTGTGACCTGACAGAGGCTGACAGTGTAATGGACACTGCTGAGCAGGTGGGTCTCTGGTTGCACCAGGCCCTGTGGATGGAGCCCAGGAAGGTGTGAGGCTGACCTCTGGCCAGCGGCCATTCCTACAAGGCTGATCTACCAGCTGCACAGCAGACCACCACATGGCACCCACCACATCCCCATGGACTCCTGCTTTGTGTCAGCAGAATCAGCTCCCCACCCAGCACCAGGCCTGCAGGTGCCTGCCCACGCCATGGGGCCTGCCCTGTCCGCCACTTTAAGTTCTTCCATGGGGGGCCACCACCCAGGGTCATGGAGGACTCGCTGGTGCCATGGCCTCAAGGGTGGATGCACTGTCCCTGCAGTGAGCCCCTGACCACACACAGCCAGCACCACAGGCTCCAGGACAGCCTGTCAAATCAGAGGTAGGGGTCGAGGGCTGCTCCTGGTGCCAACTGCATGTGGCTCCGGCTCCCATCACCAGTGAGTTGCCATCTGTGCCTCAATCTGGCTCTGGGGCTTGAAGCCAGGTGGGGGGAGCCAGCCCACAGGGGAGCCAGCCCACAGGGGAGCAGGGGCTGAGGTAGGGGAGCAGGGGGAGCAGGCAGCTGGTTTGGACCCTGGGAAGTACCCTGGACCCCAGGACAAGCAGCACTCACCACTGGAGCCTGGGGGCCTGTGTCCTGGAAGCGGCCGCTCTCTCTGTGGAAGGTGTAGTTGGCACCTGAGGCCCTGGCCACCTTCTGCATGATGCACTCGGGCTCCACATCCTCCTCAGCCCTCGCGTTGATGGTCACGTGGGCCCCCTGCAGCGAGAGCCATGTGTCAGGGAAGGCGCTGCAGCTCCAGGAGGGGACAGGCCACACACCGGTCTGCAGAGGCTCAGGAGACCCCGCTGGGAACCACGCAAATGCGCCTGCCTGTGCCAGCCTGTGTGTGGGGCCATCGCAGCCCGTGGCACATTCTGTGGCCTGGCCCTTCATCAGATAGCTCAGGTGCTAGAGGGTTTCTTTCTAATCAATGACCATTAGGCTTGACAGACACCTGGGAACAAGCGTGTTTTCTATGGGAGCCTGGTCTGCTGAGCCAGGCCTATGGCCACACACACTGCCACTCAGCACCTAGTCAGCCCAGGACCCTCCCTTTAGCTCCTAAATGGAGAAACTGAGGCAGATCTGAAGTGCTGGAAGAACAGGAAATTGAAGTTCTGAGTCTCCCTGCCAGTGACCTAGAATGCAGTCACCTGACACGTGATGACAAATGCCCTGGAAACCACACAAGGCTCCCTTTATGGCTGACACACAGACACAGACAGAAAGGAACGCGTCAGATGAGACCTGCTACTCAGGGCATGGCACCCCCCCACCCTCAAATCCCAAGGACACTGCTGAGTGTGCGCAGCATGTGGGAGGTCAGCCCCACCCAAGAGCAGCTGCACCCCAGGCCCCTGGCAGCCCTCATCCTGCCCCCCATCCCCACCCCCACCCCTGGGCCAAACCCAGGCCAGAGCAGGGCAGCAGCATCAGTCACACCCAGGGCCCAGACAGAGCACAGGGCGTGCACCCACTCCTGACGCTGGCTGCAGGCCCCACTCCCTCACTCGGGGCACTGGGCCCAGGGAACTGCGAGGCCCTGCAGGCGCGGCCCTCACCTTCAGGAAGCCGGCCATGGTGCTGACGTGGTTGGCGCACACGCCCTTCCTCGCATCGTTCACGCCCTCCCCCGTCTGCAACACAAAACACCCTGCATGACCCGCCACCCACTTCTCACAGTCACTGCCCTCCCAGGGACTTGCAGCTTCCCTGTGTCCCCAGAAGGAGAAAATAGCCACCCCAAGGCCCAGGACCAGGTGGCCCACCTCTGAGTCAGGGAGGTGGTAGGGGCACCTGAGAAGCCCCTTGTCCCAAGCCTTGCCCCATCCTGCACTGGCAGAGCCTCCCGGCCGTTCTCCCAGCCCTCTGCTCCCTCAGGATGGCTTCCCTGAGGCGACAAGCACACAGGTGTCCAGTGACCATTAGTACTTCACCTTGCAGGTGTAACTTTGGGCTCTGAGGGTAAATGCTGAGCAGCCAAGGCCCCAGGCACCTTCAGGCCACAACAAACTAACCTATCCGCCATGGGCTGTCCTCAAGCCTCCCCGGAGAGAAGCCTTGGAGCCCCCAGGTGCACGTACCCAGTTGACGAGGACGAACTTGGGCAGGCCGGAGTTGGGGTCCTTCACCCTGCAGAATGCGTACATCACCTTCCCGCTGTTGAGCTCCTCCACCATCTCCTCCAGGCCGCCCTCTGCAGCAGCCGTGGGGGCGTCAGAGGCGCCAGGCACCCCTGACCCCCCAGCACCTCATCCACCAGAACAGGGAGCTGCCTGCACCAGAAGGAGGCCCTGGGCCAGCCCACCCGCTGGTGGCTTTCACTCACACCAGTCTACACACCACTGCTGTGAAACGGCAGTGTCACTTCCACCACAGACCAGGCGCCCGGCTGTGAAAAGGAAGGCCCCTCTGCAACAAGGCTTCCGTGGCCTGGGCCCCCCTCAAGGGCCCCTGCCCACCGGCCTGCTCAGACTGTGGGGGCCCCTGGAGTGCTGTGGGCGGATGGGAACGGGCAGAGGGGAATGTCCTGCACCGGCTCAGCTGCCAGACTCAGGGAGGGAGCAAGGGCACAGGAGGGGCTGCCAGGCCACTGTCTCCTGACCCTGCCCGCACTGGGACTTGCTGCTCTCGTCAGCCTTTCAAACCGTCCCTGACTGCGGGGACTGCAGATGCTGAACTCTGCAACTGCTGCCTAGGGCACTGCAGGGTGCTTGAGACCGCTGAGGTGCCAGTCCTTCTACAAGAAACACCACTGAGGAAGGCGCTCCAGGGCAGGGGGCTCTCCACCAACAAGTCACCAGGACCATGTGGGTGGTGAGCAGTCACTGGGTGACCAGGTTATGCCTGGCTCAGGTCAGGTGAGCTGGCCTTGAGCACAGAGAGTCGGGGTGCCACAGCCTGTACCCCACCATTCTCGGGACCTTGGCCAGCAGGCCTGTGTTCCCTGCAGAGACCTCCCGCCGCCCTGTACCTGAGCAGTGTTTTCAGGTCACTACATGCACTGATGGTGTGCACAGCTGTGTGTACCGGGTCCACAGAGGGTGTGGGCAGCGGGAGGGTGTGCCTACCCCGCCTCCTCTGCCAGCCCAGGACTGTGAGCGGGGAGGCCCCATGCTCCTCTCAGCTCTCCCAGCTGCAACGCCGGGCAGCACTGTCCTGCACCTCCAGCCAAGGGCACCAAGGGGGACTTACTTTCACTTGGAAACACCTGAAACCCCCCATTCTGCTTGGACCATGTTCTGAGAAGGCCTCATTGCTGACACTGACCGAAGGCCCCCTCCTCCCGCCGTGACGGCCAAACTGCCACCTGAACCGGAGCCATGACAGTCATGCTCTCTCCCCGCAGAGCCCACTCGGCTCCTTGCTCGGCCATACTCACCCCCAGTGCCAGCCACGCGGATGTCATTGCTGTTGCCTTCGTAGGTGAAGAGAGCCCTGCAACAGACAGGCAGGGCCTGAAGCCAGTGGGTGGCACCGTCTGCCCTTGCCCCAGGAGCTCAGCACGGCAGTCACACTGCGGGCCGACACAGGCCCCTGTGACCTGCTGTGCCTGCCGAAGCATGGCCTTCTCAACTCGGATGCTGAAATGGCACTGGCCTGACTGACCACAGAGCGACAAACCTATGATGGGGCGGTGGAGGGGGGGGGCACATCTACTTTGAGGAAAACTAAGCTGTGCAGTTTTACGGCAACATTTTACACATTCGTGTCTGAGATGTTTGCCTGGCTGCCAGGCATGTGAATTCGAGAAGACAAAGACACATTCCCGAACCTGAAACACCCCAAGGAGAAGCAAGAAGGAGGAACCGGCACCAGAGCCTGCAGCATTGGCAGGACAGGTCTGTCTGGGTAGGGACTGTCCCAGCAAACAGACCTTCCCAGGCTGTACAGCACCAGAAACCACGAGGGCCACCACCCAGCATGATGTCGGGTCCTCAGGGGCAGGCTCCTGGTGGAGTAAGATCTGAATCAACCAGAGCTTCACCTCTCTTCCTGCAAGACTAATTACTTGTGACACTTCTGAAACAGATTGGGGGTTAAAAACTGGTGTCCCAGAGGCGTTCAGGAACTAGGGTAGATTTCATTAAACGTGGACATAGCTGGGGACGGGCACTCGACAAGAACAAGGGTTACTTTGGAGCACAGGCCTGCTGAGCCAGCCAGCCTGGGGCCCCAGGGTAAACAGTCTGACAGGAACCTAATCAGCTTCCACTTGGCTTCCTGGTGGCCTTGCTGACACCAATGGGCAGAGTGGCCTGTGCTCTAGAAAGATGGAAGAAACGAGATCTGACCCTGGCCCAGGGGACCTGGTTGACAGGGAGGACAGGCTGCCAGGAAAGAACAAGTTTCCCAGTAGAGGAGAAACAATGTGGAAGGCAAGAAATGGAGAAAGAAGACCTGGTAGGCAGTGGACCTTGGGGAGAACATTCTGGACAAGATGGCTTCCCAGCAGTGTAGCCACCAGCACCGAGTACAGCCCCAGGCAATGCTGGCTGACCACTGGACGGCAAGTCAAAGGGAAACCTGGTCTCACTGTCATCTCCTCCCTACTGGTCAGAGTCCTGCCTGCCCTTCTGCTGCAGGAAAGAAGCCCCTTCCTCCTGAAGCCACAGAAAAGAGAGACACTGGACAAGCAGCAGGGACAAAAGCACTGCCTGGCCCCGCTCTCCATGAAGGGACCCAGCAGCCTGGCTGGGTAGCTCAGTTGGTTGGAGCGTTGTCCCCATTCGCCAGTTTCCGGTTTGGTTCTCAGTCCATGGTTTTTCTCTCTCTCCCTCCCCCCACCTGTCAAATCAGTAAGCATGTCCTTGGGTGAGGACAAAAAAAAAAAAAGAATTAACCAACAAATACATAAATAAGTGGAACAACAGATTAATGTATCTCTCTTTCTCTAAGGAAAAAAAGAAAAAGAAAAAGAGAAGGGATCCATTAGCTACTGAGAGCCAAGCTCCATACCAGCCACCCACCTTCTGACCTCGTCCCCTTCTCCCAGGGCCATTCGAGGGTGTCACCCTCCCCAGAGGCTCCTTGCCACAACCCATCAATCCCAGCCCTTTTTCACATCAACGTGAGAAAAACGGCGCTTTGGCCTGGGCACAACACACGTGGGGCACCAGCACCTCATATGTCAGTTCTTCCTTCCAAATGCACGTGCAGAGAACCTGCTGCCTGTTGGGGTGGGACACAGGGCCGAGTACACACCGCCAACCAGACATAGAAAGTACACACACATTGGCCCGGGTGCCAGGGCTGTGGGAGCTGAGCCCAGGCTATGCTCTTGGGAAGAAGGACCAGGGAGAGCCAAGAGGAAGACCCCAGGTGCATAGCTGATGTGGCTGCTCTCATCCCACCTTGCTTCAGGACCCCATCCAAGATTGCCCACGCTGTACCTACCACATCGGATACCACCTCTTGCTCTGATACCACCTTTCCTGTCCCCCTTGGTCAGTCCTTCACCTGAGCACCTACTATGCACCACTGCCCTGCACCAGGGAAAGAGACAGGGCCCACCCCCTGCCCCTTCTGGAAAAGAGAGAAAGGTGACACAAAACCAGCAGGGTGCCAGCCTGGGTCTGGGGAATATGCCTGCAGCCAGGGAGCAAGGCAGTGAAGAAGGCCTGCAAGAGGGCCACCTTGGTGCTGAGACCCGAGCTGTGGAGGGGCCCCTGGGACAATGAGGAGGCATGCTCCAGCAGAGGAAGCAGCCAGAGCAAAGGCTCTGAGGGGGAACCAGCCTGCAGGTTTGAGGAAGAGAAAAAGGGCAGCAGTGCGGCAAATGGGGGAGGGGGAACAGGCGTGGAGGTGAGAGTGGCTGTCAGAGCCTGTCAGCCAGATGAGGAGCCTGGCCTTTACGGAAAGAGTGATGCGAAGTCACGGCAGCGTTACAGGCAGGGAAGTGACCATAGTGAGTGGGGACCTGCCACATGGTATCTGTTGACAGGGCAGAGGCCGGGGGCCCATGCTGCTGAGGCTGGAGAGGTGGGTGCGCTGACTGGGTGGGAGGAAAGAGGAGGCTTGTTGCCCTCCTGTGGGCAGAGAGACGATGGTGGGGGGGAGCAGACAGCTCCTGGAAGCAGCCCAAGGCCAGGCTAAAACATGGGAGGCCCGAACAATATCTCCCCCGACCAGGGATAGTCCCGAGAGGACTGAGGACAGAGAGAGAAGCCTGGAGGGAAGGCTGGGCAGGACACCCAGGAATCTCCCAGGTTCAGTCAACCCTAATGGGGAGGGACTACAGAGGGGTGATGCTTCCAGGTTCTAGTCTGGTGGCAACGTGTGTAGAGAGGCTGCTGGAGAGGTTTGGAACATCAAGGCCACCAGAGAACAGAGGAGGGTGAGGGCGGACATCTGGACGCCCCCCCTGAGAGAAATAACAGTGCTAGGTGTGTGGGTGAACTTCGTGAGGACTGACTGCAAACAAGAGAGGGGAGAGACTCTGCCAGTTACCAGACACCATTCCCTGATAGAAGAGATGCTTTCCAGACAGAGGGCGCACTGCTTGGTTGTCATGCATAGCATGGCCCAGTGCCACTGGGGGCCCAGTCGGTGAGCCCCAGCAGGACAGGAGCGTGCAGACCAGACACTGCTGTTACCAAGCTCTTGCCCATAAGACCTGGGCTGAAGGAAGGGAAAGGCCCAGACTCCCTCAGTGTCACAGTGGTACATGGGACAAAAGCCACTGTGCTGGGCACCAGGGAAAGCAGAGGCAAGAAAGCACCTGACAAGTGGGGGCCAGTCCCAGGAGCGCAGTCACACCTGCCGGCGCTGCTCTCCTAAGCCGGTCATCTAAGCCTTTCCCGCTCAGCATTTCTTACAACCAAGAGTGCTAGAAACCAGTCAATAAAAATGGCTTAAGCGAACTGTACAGTGACAGAGCATTCCCACCCACAGCCACCACTAGCTGCAGAACAGCGAGCTGACCCTGAGCGGGGCTGCTTGGGTCATGCCGGAGCCCTCGGACCAGGACTGCAGGGCCGTGAAGCCCCATTTTCCTCCTGAGGGGCCCTAACCACGGCCACCTAGCAGAGGACGCATGAGGAGGCGGACAGACGACGGTAGCCCGCGCCGTGAGACACTCATCTCCCCGAGGCTCCCGCACAAGAACGGGCTCCCTTGGATGGAGGGAGGTTCTGAAATCCATACGCACAGAGAACCTCCTGGTCTGACGCCTCTAAGGGCGGGGGTGTTGTTCCCGCGGACAGCCAGCCTGCAGGCCGCTCTCGAAGGCCCGTCCCGGGACGCAGCATTTGCTACAAGCCGGGCGTGGCTTCCGCTTTCTCGGGGAGACTATGAGGTCCCGGACAGGAAAGCAGAACCTGGCGAAGCCACCAAGGGCAGCCAGGCAGAGTCCATCACAGAGGTGCAGATCGAGGGATGGAGCGGCCCTGGGGAGTGGGGGGCGTCACGCGCGGCGGGACAAGCGGTGACAAGGCTGGGACGGCACCTATCGGGGCGCGGCGCAGGTGTGCGGCACGCAGGTCAGTCCCGATTCGCCCATGGCCGCGAGGGTAGCGCCCCTTGGCTCCCCCGCCCGGCCCAGCCCGGCCCCAGCCTGCCTCGGCGCTCACCAGTCGGTCGGGGACTTCTCGGTGACCACGCGCTGGTATGCCTCCTGCAGCGCCGGTCCGTTTCGGCTCAGGTTCGCAGCCATGGCCCAGCCTAGTCCCCTAGCCGCAGCTTCCTGCCCGACCCGCCTCCACCTGCCGGAAGCGGAAACAGGTGGGCGGGGCCGCGACGCCGGGGTCTCGGGTAGGTGGAGCGCAGCGAGAGTGGTGACACTCCTAGGGGACCCGGCAGGGGGACCCCGCGGAGGGGATTGGCAGGGCCCCTCTGGGTTGATGCTGCTCAGAGCGCGTGCGCGTCCTCTCCGACTCGGGTCAGTTACCGCTCCTGCTGCACAATCTGGGGTCCCGACAGTTTCCTGCACGTGGGTCCCCCGGGCCTCTGCCTGGACCCTAAGCAAAAGTTGGAGGCGAATCAATGGGGGCGCCGGAGAGGGAAAGCTGCGCGACGCCACTCCGCCACCAGCGAACTCGGCCCTGGGCATCCTTGCCTGCCTCCTCGGTCTGAGGCCGGCCGAGGAGACAGCCATTCAGACGGAAGCCATCCATGAGGAAGGATAGCTATTTATTAATTTTTTATTTTTAGAGAGAGGGGAAGGGAGGGAGAAAGACAGGGAGAGAAACATCAATGTGTGGAGCTGGCCCACCACCCAACCTGGGAATCTAACTGGCGACCCTTTGGTTCACAAACCGCGCTCAGTGGACTGATGGCTATTTATTCAAGGTCCTCGTCAGCAGAAGTGACAATAAGCAGGCAAACCATTTTCTCAAAACCACCAGGATCACGTCTTTGTTCCGGCAGCACGTGGCCCCATCACCACAGAGTCAGAGAAATGGAGTCACCACTTCTGCGCTAAACAGGAAACTTGTTTACGCTGCATGATAAGTGGAACCCAGTAAATAAATACCTCACTCACAACTTAAGAGGTTTGTTGTTGTTGTTGTTTTTTAAGCTTCCTCCTAATCGAGTCTCTGTTGCATTTGAACGGGGAGTCGCAGCGGCAGCAAGTGGGCGAGCCGAAGTTCCCAGCGCCGTCTGGGATGTAGGCTCTGGGGCTGGGGAGGGCCTGCAGGGTCTGAATCTGGATCGGGACACACAGGAGCACGAAGGCCATCCGTTCCCAGTTCCCGGCCACCTAACCGTTCACAAGGCCTCAGAGAGGGTGCCTTTGCTGCTCCTGAAGCTCTCTGAGGGTCTTTGGCTCCTAGGTCTTGCCCAAAGCATCAGCCCAGCTTCCTGCTGTCAGGTGCGCGCTCAGCCCAGCGCCAACAGAAACCGCATGAGGGAAGGGAACCTCCCGGCAGGGGGCTCTGAAGTTTCACCGCAACTTTGCGGACGTGTTAACTGGAAGATGTCCACAGATCCATTAGGCCTCCTGTTGCCGGGTGAAGGGCTGCGCTGCTGGGCATCTGTCACCTAATGCAGAAATGACCAACCTCCCGCACAAAGGTGGCAGCCTTACACCCCTCACCTCTGTCTGATCAGGGTTTGGGAGAAAGGCCAGAAGGAGACATTTTAAGGAAAAGAAACCACTATCTGGTTTGATAGGTTTTGCAGATTCTTTTTTAAAAATTTATCTTTAGAGGGGAAGGGAAGGAGAGAGGGAGAGAAATATCAATGTACGGTTGCCTCTCATCCGTCCCCTGCTGGGAACTGGCCTGCAGCCCAGGCCTGTGCCCTGACTGGGAATCAAACTGCGATCTTTTGGTTTGCAGGCCCGCGCTCAATTCACTGAGCTACACCAGCCAGGCCAAGTTTTGCAGATTCTTTATAGCTTTGTGATTTTATTAATAAAATCTCAACAGGGGAAAACCTGGGTGGGGATGAGGAGACCAGCAGACTGGCCAAGGACAGGACAGTAGGCGAGGGAGCACTCCTGCCGCCACAGGGTGCTGCCTGCCTGTCCTCTACGCCTGGGAGGACCAGCATCCATGACTAGACCGAATGCAGGCCCAGCCCAGCCCAGCCCTTATGCAGCGCTGCCCAGAGGAAGCATGTGTCACAGTGACAAGAGGCACAGGAAGGAGTGGCTGGTGTGGCAGGACAGACAAGGGGCCCATGCTGATCTTGAGGCTTCTTTGCCCCCCACTGGGTACCAGAGGCGGACCTCAGGCCAGGTGCTATTCTGCAAGCACCTCTCTGGCACTTAAGGAGAATGTCTCCTGAATTTCAGAGACAGAAATCTGCTCTCCTTGAGCACCTTCAGTGAGGTGGTGTGGACACATTCTCAGCTCTGAGCGGCCAGGCCTGGGACATTTGCACTGTGGTGTCTTATCCTTGGTCAGGATATTTAGACCCTTTGCCATATTCTTTTTTTTAAATATGTTTTATTGATTATGCTATTACAGTTGTCCCATTCCCCTCCACCCTGCACACCCTCTCCCACCCACATCCCCCCACTTTAGTTCATGTCCATGTGTCATACATATAAGTTCTTGGCTTCTACATTTCCTATACTATTCTTACCCTCCTCCTGTCTATTTCTACCTACAATCTATGCTACTTATTCTCTGTACCTTCCCCCCCTCCAAACTCTCCTGTTGATAACCTTCCTTGTGATCTCCATTTCTGTGTTTCTGTTCCTGTTCTAGTTGTTTATTTAGTTTGCTTTTGTTTTAGGTGTGGTTGTTAATAATTGTGAGTTAGCTGTCATTTTACCCCACTCATTTTTTTATCTTCTTTTTCCTAGATAAGTCCCTTTAACATTTCATGTAATAAGGGCTTGGTGATGATGAACTCCTTTAACTTCACCTTGTCTGAGAAGCGCTTTATCTGCCCTTCCATTCTAAATGAAAGCTTTGCTGGATAGAGTCATCTTGGATGACTTGCCTTTCAGGCAAGTAGGTCCTTGACTTTCGTGACTTGGAATACTTCTTTCCAGCCCCTTCTTGCCTGGAAGGTCTCTTCTGAGAAATCAGCTGACAGTCTGGTGGGAACTGCTTTGTAGGTAACTGTCTCCTTTTCTCTTGCTGCTTTTAAGATTCTCTCCTTATCTTTAATCTTGGCTAATGTAATTGATGTGCCTTGGTGTGTTCCTCCTTGGGTCCAACTTCTTTGGGACTTCTGAGCTTCCTGAACTTCCTGGAAGTCTATTTCCTTAGTCAGATTGGGGAAGTTCTCCTTTATTATTTGTTTAAATAACTTTTCCACTTGTTGCTCTCCCACTTCTCCTTCTGGTACCCCTATAATTCGGATGTTGGAATGTTTAAAGATGTCCTGGAGGTTTCTAAGCCTCTCCTCATTTTTTCTGAATTCTTGTTTCTTAATTCTTTTCTGATTGGCTGTTTCTTTCTTCCTTCTGGTCTACTCCATTGATTTGAGTCCCAGTTTCATTTCCATCACTGTTGGTTCCCTGTACATTTTCCTTTATTTTGCTTAGCATAGCCTTCATTCTTTCATCTAATTTGCTACCATCTAATTTGCTGCTACTCACCCCATTGTCACTCCCACAGCTTCCTGGGAGACCACTTAGATAACCAATCCTGTGAGCATCCTGATTATGAGTGTTTTGAACTGTGCATCTGATAGGTTGACTGTCTCTTCATAGCTTAGTTGTATTATTTCTGGAGCTTTGATCTGTTCTTCCATTTGAGCCATTTTTTTTCTTGATGCACCTGTTATGTATGAGGGGCAAAGCCTCAGGTGTTCACCAGGGTGGGGCAAACCAGTTGCTGGGTTGTGATGCTGTATGTGGAGCAGGGGTCTGAGAGGGAACAATGGTGCTTTCTCCTCTCTCTGTCAGATTTCAGTCCCTTCCCCTGCTTCCCCCAAGCAAACTGGGCCCTTCTGGTGCTGGTTCCCAAGTGGATGACTGTGTACATTCTAGGACCCTGTGTGTCTCTCCAACAAACTCTCCTGTGAGGCTGGGAGTTTCTCCCGGCACCTCAACCCCCACAGGTATTTTCAGTCCGTGTTTTGAGGCTTCATTTCTTGGTGCTGGAGCCCTGGGTTGTGCGGTCTGTATCACTTCCCAGTTTTGCCTGGCTTACCTGTGCTCAAATGTGGGACCGCCCGGTCTGCCAGCTGCCTCGCGTGCCCCTCCACAGCCCACTGCCTCGCTGGGTCCGCCCGTTTCCACCTTGGCGCCCGGGGTGGGCCAGCCGCTCTGCACAAGCCCTCTTGGTCAGGCTCCCCGACCTCACCCCACCAGTGGGTCTGGGTGAATGTGTCTACTTTAACTCTTTGGTTGTCGGACTTCCATACCGTTCAATTCTCTCTCAGTTCTGGGTTTTTTTTGTTTGTTTTTAAATTGTCCTATTTTGGTTGTGTGAGGAGGCACAGTGTATCTACCCACATCTTGGCCAGAAGTCCCTTTGCCATATTCTTGGAACTCTGTGGAGCCTGACAAAGGATCAAGATGCCAGCACTGTCCAGCAAGTCCAGGTGCTTCTGGCCGCAGTTAATAGTTATCTGTTCACGATGGATCAATTGCTTAAGACAATGTCTGTCCCTGTTGTCTCTAGTCCAGAGAAAAAGCCACGTCACCCCACAGTTGGCTGTCTGGCTGCTCAGATGCCCTCCTGGGACTGACCTTGGAAACATGATGCCTGCACACAAAGGTTACATGGGAGCTCTCACACCACAGTGCACCCTGAAGTGAGGTTTTCAACCCAAGAATCCCGTTCTTCAGGCCAACAAGCAGGTGGGTTTCTCAGGGGCAGACATCGTGGGGATTTGCCAGGATCAGGCTTGTTCAAAGGGTCTGGCAAAGGGTACAGAGTCCAAGTCAGACTGGCAAAAGGCCAGGACAATTGACACTGGGGATCCCAAAGGTCTGATTTCACTTTCTTACCATGTGTCTCCAACAGAGAAAACAGGGAAAATTTTGTCTGGATTCAGGAAATTCATCAGCTTCTGGGCACCATAAGCTATTACACTCGAAGGGCACCCACAGCCTCAACACCAGCTTGGAATGGGATTTCTCTCTAAGCTTCTGACTTGTCTCTGAAATGTGACCCTGGCCCCCCTCCCCATGCTCTGTGACGCTTGGCTGCAAGGTAGATTGTGACCACTGTCTGAGAGCCTTCCCAGGGGACATGCTAATGGCCTCTGCCCGTCTAGGAAGGTCTAACATCTTGTTTAAGCAAAGACCAAAGGGGTAGAAAGAGACAAAATTAAAAAGGTAGCTGTCAGTGTGATGACAGGCAGGGAACAGGAGGGCCCATGGAACCCCAAAAGTAGCCCATGGCCTCGGGGTCTTACATGAGGACCCCCACAAAGGAAATGCAGGCTGGGCTCTGACTGCTGCCTGGAGGCCTCAGCAGTGAAGTTGTGGACAACTCAGAGCTCCTGGAGCAGGTGGACCTCCTGCAGCCTTTCCTTGATCCGCCTGCAAAGGCCCCATCGGGCCACTGGGGGGCAGAATTTCATGCTGCATCCCCAGCTGCTACTCACCCCAGTGTCACTCCCATGGCTTCTGGGAGACCACTTAGAAAAGACCAGGTCAGATTTGACTTTAGAGGTTTGAAGACCCTCAATTTCCCTCCCTCTTGGGAGGTTTAATTAGAATAACCCACCTGCCCTTCTAGCTAACCTAATCTCAAAGCTGCAACTCTGAAGGTAACCCTTCAAATGTACTGCCTCAGAAACCTAAGAAGAGGCCAGTCACTCACTCAACAGGTTGTTCAAGGTTCCAAAGAACCTGTTAAAAGTTTCCGTGTCTTCTATTCTGTCTGGGAAAAAGGTAGGCTTAAATGCCAGTTACCGTTCAGTGTGATCAGTGAGTCACATTTTTATTCACATTTCGAGGTCTCTCCCTGCCCCTGCCCTCCGGTCTTTGGGCGGCTCACACTGAGCTGAGCACTGGCTCCGGGGGGAGGTGGGCACTGAAAATCCTGGTCATGTGGGAAAGTGGACCACAGTCTCTGCAGGTCTGGCCCCTGAAAAGACAGCCGCCTGTCCTGGGGTGTTCTATGTGCTGTTGCTGCCTGGTGAGGGGGGGATGCCAGCACACAGAGGGACGCTGTCCCAGTGACAGTGCTCCTGACTCCCGGGATGGAGCACCTCCTGAGACAAGGTCTGCAGCAGACAGTGCTCGCTCTGCCTGGGGCACCCAGGCTGCAGCTGAGATCCAGAGGTGAGGGTGAGGCAGAGGCCTGGGTGGTGCCATGGCGAGGGGTGACACTCAAGGTCAGGCAGGGGAGGTGCATGGCACATTGTTGCCCCATGAGACCAGTGGTGAGTCGGGGTGCAGGGACTGATTCCATTGTGGCCAGGAAGGCTGCAGTTATAACAGTGACTACTAAGTTGGCATTAAAGATCTGATGTTGTCAAAGCCACAACAGCAGAGAGTGGCCCCAACGGGCTGCGGCTGGAGAAAGTGCGGCCAGCATTTGTCTTTGTAAGAGAGGGCGCTCTGGGAGTGGCTGGGCCAGGAGCTCAGTTTCGCGGAAGGGCCTCTTTGCTGTGAAACCTCCGAGGCACTTACATGGCATATTTCTGTGTCCACTCTCTCGCTAGTCTGTTGTATCTGGAAGAAAAAAGCAGAGCCGGTTGACACCCTCATTCAAAATGGCCACTTCCATTGCACTCAGAGTAGAGAACAGAACTGACGCAGGGGACTACCGCTGCCTCTAGGCAAACAGGAAGGACTAACGAGTGGGCAAAATTAAGGTACTGGTGGGAGGATGTGTCATTTGTGACCGTGAACCCCTTATTTGCTGAGTCTTGATACTTCTCCATAACTGTCTGCTACAGAAGACTCAGTAATGCACCTTCTCCTCCTCTCTCCTGTCCCACAGGGTGGATGAGGAGGGTCAGGAAAACATGCAAGGTGGTCAGCCAGCAGCAGCCCCGGCTGCCCAACACACAGAGCCAGCATGCAGGCTTTGGAGCCTCCCGCCCCAAGCAGACCTGGTACCCGTGGAGGGCTGTGGACGTGTGTGTTTATTCCCAGTACTGAGTGAGGTCTGGAGCAGTGAGGTTATAAGACAGATTTGCAGCCACAGAGGGCAATGAAGCAACCACTTCTGGTGTGTCTAAAGTATCTCATAGTAAGTGGTAAAATAAATAAGTACAGTTTATAATCTAGTCAGTTAAAAATTATGCTGTCATTGTGGAAAACTCAATGAGGGAAATAGTGACACCTATCAAACTTTCAAGATTAACATAAGTTAAAAAAAACCACTTGCCATTCTCTTCTTGAAATCTCTTCAGACAGAAGAGAATCCATAAACTAAAAGACTCACTGGAAATGTTCTTTGGAAGAAGCAGCAACGACCACTCCTTGCCCCACCCTGCATCATTCGCTGAGACCCAGCACTGCTCACGGGCGGCGGCTCTGATTCCAGGGCCAGGCCAGGCCCTTTCTCCCACACTGTCTGTGCTTCGCCCTCAAAGCCATCCATCCCCTTAGGCTCCAGTGTGCACGACTGTGCCCAGCCTAATGGCTTCTACTCTGCTGGGCTGGCTACTAGTTTGAACAGAGCTGAGGAGACAAAGACAGTCTCTTCATTGAGTGGTGTTTGCAAAACTGGACAGATAACATGTAAAAAATGAATCTGGAACACTTTCTTACACCATACACAAAAATAAACTCAAAATAAATTAAAGACTTAAATATTAGGCTTGAAACCATAAATTCCTAGGAGAAAACATGCACAGTAAGCTCTTTGACATGACTCTTAGTATTATATTTTTGGATCTATCTCCTTGAGCAAGGGAAACAAAAGAAAAAATGAACAAACGATATTACATCGCACTAAAAAGTTTTTGCACAGTGAAGGAAACCATCAACAAAATGAAAAGACAATCTCCTGAATGGGAGAAGACATTTGCCAATGCTACATTCAGTAAGAAACTCATACAACTTAACGCCAAAAAAATCTGATTTAAAAATGGGCAGAGAACCTGAACAAACATTTTCTCCAAAGAGGACAAACAGGTGGCCAACAGACATATGAAAAAATGCTCAACATTACTAATCATCAGAGAAATACAAATTAAAACCACAATGAAATACTACCTCACACCTGCCAGAATGGCTGTCATCAGTAAATGAACCAAAAAAAGTGTTGGAGAGGATGTGGAGAAAAGGGAACCCCAGCGCACTGTCGGTGGGAATGCAGACTGGTGCAGCCGCTGAGGAAAACAGTGTGGAGGGTCCTCAAAAAATTAAACAGGGCTGTCACAATCCAGCAATTCCACTTCCGGGTATTTATCCAAATAAAATGACTAATTTGAAAAGATATACCTAAGCACCCCATGTCCATTGCAGCACTGTTTACAATAGCCAAGATACAGAAGCAGCCCAAGTGTCCACCGACAGACGAGTGGGTAAAGGAGGTGGAGAATATATATCACGGAACACGACTTGGCCATCGAAAACAATGAAATCTTGCCATTTGCGACAACATGGATGAACTGGAGGGTATTATGCTATGTGATATGTAAATCAGAGAAAAACAGATACTGTGTAATTTCACTTATATTTTGAATCTTAAGAAAACAAATGAATCAACAAGAAAAGAACCAGAGGGTCTGTCAGTGAAACCCTAATGCACTGCTGACAGCTGAGCCTCGGTTGGGAACCGACCCCCGGCTATGCTCCTACCTTGACTGGCCTTGGCCTGACCCTGGGTCTCTGAGAAGATACTCTGGCTTACCCTGCAAACTTCAGAATTTAATCCAGAATTTTCTTGTTACATTCTTCTTAGTCCATTCTTGGCTGACCACTGACTTTGCTGACCTCAAGGGTAGGCTTGGCAATAATACTTTAGGGTTTGGTACCAGCAGCTGATGAGCTGCCAAGGACGGTGAACAGGTTTTATCTCCTCCCTTCTCAGAGCCAAAGGGCATATTCACCAGAGAGCAGGAATCTGAGCCCAGGGACACCCACTGCAAGGCCCAGGTTTGGGCAGGAAGAGGTCTGCCAGAACCTGGTCAGCCAAGAGGCACCAGCCCAGGGTGGGTACCCCCGAGGCTCGAAGAAGCCCAAGGAGGGTGCATACTTCTCTCTGTTGGCCTTGTAGGTGTGGGCGATCTCTGGCATCAGAGGGTCGTCAGGGCTGGGGTCGCTGAGCAGGGCGCAGATGGACAAGAGCACTGGGAAGAGAAGTAAAGCCGGGTCAGCCACGAGACTGCCAGCCGCCCCGGGTCTGGAGAGCCCCCAGCTCAAGCTCTCTATGGACAGAGCGAGTATTTTCCCTTCAACATCCCATCTGAATTATTCTGATTGACTCCCCAGTAGTCATGAAAGTATTCTCTTGGCTCATCTATGGACTGAATGGCAGTTTTATGCCTCCTGCTCTAGGGAACCTACAGGGGCCACACGCCTTTGGTGTTGGGTCTCAGGGGCCTGTTTGTTTATTGGGAAATGGGGACCCTGAATGTTCTATTCAGGTATGTGGGGTGGGCAGCTCTCCCTCCGGACTCATCATGCAGTCTTTAAAAGCCTGTCCTTCCAGTGGCCTGTCCTGCCCGTCCCCTTGCTGGCTGCTGGAAGCTCTGCTCTGCCTGCTTTGCTTCACGCCCACCTCAGCCTGTGTCTCGGGCTGTGGGCCCTGTTTCTCTTGGGCAGATTTTTTCACCATTTCATCTACCCCACTGACGGGAGATTGATGCTGTTTACACCCAGGTTTAGCCCTTCCGTTCAGAAGGAATATCTGTATTTCTGAAGTCCTGTTGAGACTGGGGTCTTGAATTGCAGGCAGAGATGTGTTCAGCTCACTGCTTGGTGGGGGGGTAATTCTTCAAGACTGTGAAGCCCTGGGGGGTGGGGGAGGGGCCTTTCTCTCCTTCCTTCTGAGGCCTAGGTCAGAATTCGTGATGGGTAGATGAAGAAATGAGGGAACAGAGAAGGCAATGCAATATTTTCCTTTCTTATTTCTAGAGAAACATGTTCATAAAACCAGTATTCTCTCCTTGCACCCAAGCAACAGTCTGGCTGGAGCCCCCACAGCAACCAGTCTGTGTGGACGTGGTCGGGGCAGGAACAGGGTCCCCACGCCCTCTCCTAAGAGCTGTGGAAAGCCACCTGCTCTCTCTGAGCCTATTTCCTCCAGGGACATGGGGCAGAAATGCTGCTGCAAGAGCCACAGGCATGGGACTGGGCCTGCGAGGCACATCGGAGCCTGGCACACGCAGCTACCTTCGGACACCGTCAGTGATGGACACTACCTTCGGACACCGTCAGTGATGGACACGCAGCTACCTTCGGACACCGTCAGTGATGGACACTGTCAGTGACGGACACGCAGCTACCTTCGGACACCGTCAGTGATGGACACTGTCAGTGACGGACACGCAGCTACCTTCGGACACCATCAGTGATGGACACGCAGCTACCTTCGGACACCGTCAGTGATGGACACTGTCAGTGATGGACACGCAGCTACCTTCGGACACCGTCAGTGATGGACACTGTCAGTGACGGACACGCAGCTACCTTTGGACACCGTCAGTGATGGAGACCACAGGGACTGCAGGACATCAAGGCAGATGCTGCCGTTGCTGCTGATGTTGGGGTGGTAAATTTTGGTGGCGAAAGCAACCTGCAGATTGAGAGACCTCAAGTCAGTCAGGCCACAGGGACATTTTAGACTTTAAATCTAGACAGTGTCTGGAAAAAGAACCAAGTGAGGCAGAAGAGGCTGCTGCTGGGCTTATGTCTGGTTCTGCACAGTCCTGGGTGAGCCAGGGCCCGCCTGAACCTAACAGGACAGAGGTGGGGGGAGCTCCACAACCTGTTCTCATCCCACACATGGCAGAGCTGTGGCTGGGGAGCCCCGAGGGGCTTCTTCACTCAGCTCAGACACAGGGCCCCTGCAGGGCCAAGGGTATGACTCACACTCAGACATCAAGGTAAGGTCCTGCTCTGGGCAGTGAGACCCAGCATGAGCCCTGAGCCATGGGGCCCTGACACAAGGACCCACAGCTTGCCAAAGGGCATAACCTTGGTCCAATCCTGAGAAAACACTGCAGACCCAAAATGAAGGATATTTGGTAAGATAACAGATAAACGCTCTTTATAAGCATCAAGGTCATGGAAGCCCAGGGGAAACCGAGGCAGACTGTGCCAGTGAAGGAACAAGACAAGGTAAGTGGGATGGACGTCAGTGCAAACAGGGAAAATATGACTAGTGTTGTCAGCCTGGTCCAGAGCTTCGAGGCCACGGCCAAGTCCTGGGCTGGGTGACGGAGCTCTAGTCACAAAGAGACTGGCGTCAGGGAGAGGTGGGCGAGGGACTCTGCTATGTTTTCGATTTTCTCTAAGTCTAAAATTAATTTTTTTTAAAGTCTTAAAAAAAAGAAGCTGACACATCCCATGCTTCTTGGGTTACTTGGTTTATGATAACTATCAAAAATAGTTTCATGCTTATACCAAACAATTAAATCTGATCCTTAATATTTGATATTTTGCCAGTGAGTCTACTGATAAGGGATTACTGGGAGCCAGTCACGCAATTTGGAAACAATGTCAGTCTCCGTTCTGCACTAGCCGTGGACTCACCACAGAGCCTCTCGGTGGTGTGGAAGCTTAGACCCGGCACATGAGCGATGCACTGGGGCCGGCTGAGAACTGCCGGCAGGCAGCGCGCTCCAGCAGAGGAAACCAACTGCGCACAAGGTTGCCGCCTGTGGACCAGTGTGTAAGAGTCTGGCACAGCGATGTTTTCATCTTCTCATTGTTTTAGATATTGTACAGAACTGTTGCTAATGCATTTTTTGCAAAACCTTAAAAGTGCTCCAAATGTTGACAGTAAGTACATCAAGCAACACAGTGTCTTTGGTGTATATTAGACTTTTGTTCTTCATGCATCTGTAATTTCATTTTCTTTTTAAATATAAAATTTTGGTTTGGTTACAACTAACTTGAAATTCTTCAGTACTAGCCTGGTGTACATAAACACAAGAACATGTGTTGTTGGAGGATAATGACCTTTCTCAGATTGTGGTTGTAGTCATCCCTGTTCAGTTGTTAAAGTGTGTTTAAGATTTTATTTATTTACTTATTTATAGAATGAGGGGAAGGGAGGGATAAAGTGAGGGAGAGAAACCTCGATGTGCGAGAGATTCATTGCCTCTTGGGCAACCCCAACTGGGGAGCTGGCCCGCAACCCAGGCATGTGGCCTGACCAGGAATCGAACGGGTGATCTTTCAGTTCACACAGGTCAGCACTTAATCTGCTCAGCTATACCAGCCAGGGCCAGTTCTTAAAGTTTTTTTTTTTTTTAATAAAACAGAATACAACTTCAAGTTTCCTTTGCATTGAGGTGTATCCAAAACATTAATGTATCACAAAATAAAAGTTTGTATTTAATGAGGAGATGCTTTATGCTGTACTTTTTGGTGTTTTTTTTTAAAGTTACATTTAGATTTATTCTGAAGCAGTTCACTTTTAACAAATACAATGTTATAGGTAAAAAAAAGGCTGACTCAGAGAGGACTCCTGGTCAAGGTGGTGGAGTGGGTAAATACTGTACTCACCTTCTTCCATGACTACATCGAGATTGTAACTCAAGTATAGGACGACCACCCTTGAGAGCGACCTGAAGACTAGCTCAACAGAGCTTCTACAACTAAGGATATAAAGAACAAACTACAGAGATTGGTAGAAGGGGCACAGACGCAAAACACCCAATACCCACATGTGGCAGATAAGAACTGGGGTCCCTCCTGAGGAGTGAGGGGTCCCAGCCTAGAGCACCTGTGCCAGGAAAAGGAGTCCGCACAGCAGCTGGCTGTCAAAATCCATCTGGGTGAGACAGAGGGAGGGCTGCTGTGGACTCAGGAGTCCCCTCCAAGGGCCTGAGCACAGACCCACTCAGCTACAAACACTGGCTCTGAGCTCCAGAGAGGGGGCAGCAGCTCTGGCTTCAGGGTGGGGGCCAGAGGGGCAGCTCTCTCTGGGACTAAAGTGCCAGAAGAACCCATTGTTCCTTTATTCCGCACCCTCCTACAGCTGGCAGGTGCACTGCATCACCAAACCTGAGTTTCCATTACCCTGGCTAACACTGCTCTCACCTGCCCTGAGAGTCCCCAAGACGCCACTCCGACCAGTTCACATGCCCAGCCCAGACCTCCTTCAGAGGCTAACCCACACGCAGCACCAGCCTGGCCTGCACCACAGACTCACCTAAAATCTCTCAAAGATCCACGGACAAAGATCAGCTGTAAACATAGTTTAGTACATATGAAGCACATGGAAACCACAAGCTGAAAATAGATGAGATATATAAGAAATAAAGAAAAAGGAATCCAAACATAACACTACAGAAAGTCATCACATACAAGAGAAGAGAGCAAGAGAATAAGAAAGGAACAGAAAAAAACTACACAGAAAACAAGTAAAATGGCCAGAACTGTAGGCCCTGGCGGGGTTGTTCAATGGGTTGGAGCACTGTCCCAACATGCCACAGTGGCGGGTTCGATCCTCGTCAAGGTGCATATTAGAATCAACAAATGAATGTGAAAATAAGCGGAGCAACGAATCAATGTTTCACTCTTCCTCTCTCTCTCAAACCAATAAATTAAAAAAAAATTTAAATGGCCATAACTACATACCTATCAATAATTATTGTATCTTTGTGTAATATCACTTCAGTGGTAAGTTTGATTGCTAAAGAGCTATTAAAATGACTGTTCCATGTGCAAAAAAAATTAAATGTGAATGGATTAATGCTCAAATCAAAAGAAAAATGGACATACGGTCATACCTCGCTATATTGAGGTTCACTTATTGTGGCTTCAATGTATCATAGGTTTTTTTAAAAATATATATCTAATTCTGTATCTTGGAGTTTTCGCTCTATCATGGGATTTTGCGGTATATAGGTATTTATATAATATCTATGATTTTAATTATTTTTGCCTAAAACTAAACAACATAAAAATATTAAAAATGTTAACTCAAACATATTAAAAGAATATTAAATAGCTATAAAATACAGTATGTATTTCATCAGCGCATGAATACTGTACTGTACACAATGGAAATGTGGTGCACTGCTACCCCTTGCACAAGTTTGACAACTTGAGATTGTACACGGCACACTATTGGCTGATGGAATGGAAGGTGACCAACCACAGCCCTGTGTTCTGTATCCTGGGTGCTGATTGGCTCAGTGACTGTAGCATCATCTGTTTGCTCTCCCACACTGTGCCTACACTTTCAGCTTCTCTCCTTGTCCACTTCACGTGGATGTCTGATCACTGCATATAGTGTTGCTCTGCGGTGTTGTGTTTTTGTGAAATTTTTGTAAAAGTTTGAATTTATTTCAAGCCCTATATGTCACCCAAATGTTCTGTGCCTTCTAAGGCTTCTGGCAGAGAACCCGAGCACCAGAGGAATATGTGTACCATCAAAGAAAAGGTGGGACTTCGAGACATGTCAAAGGAAGGCAAAAGCTATGCGGCTGTGGGTCGCCATTATGGGATCAATGAATCTACTGTTCACTACATAAAGAAAGACGAGAAGAATATTAGGTCTATGGCAACAATGACTTTTAACAAGATTGCAAAGAGGGTTGTCACTTCCTGCAATAAGGCCATTGTGAGGATGGAGTCTGCACTGGCCCTGTGGATAAATGACTGCAGGAAGAAGAATATCTCACTGGATCCCAACACCATCCAGATGAAGGCCAAGAAACTTTATGATAGTTTTGTGGAAAGCATGGACATTCACGATGGTGACACAGATGAAGACACGGATGACAATGCAGAAGCAGGACTTTCAAATGCTTCTCCCACCAGAGCAACCCCATTCAGTGCCAGCAAGGGCTGGTTTGACAAATTTCAGAGATGCTTTGGAATCAAGAGCGTTTCTCTGCACGAAGAGGCTGCCTCCGCAGATAAAAAGCAGGGCCAGCAACTCCCCATAGCTATGTCCATCACTTGGACAAAGAGATCAGTTACACCTATGCCTTTAGCAGAAATAGAAGTTACAGCCCAGGGCGAAGATACTGCACCACCTGATGAAGCCCCTGATGAAGTGGTGCCTTCAGAAGAGCTGTGATGCTCTTATTGTCTGTGCAGTACATTCATCTCATCGTCATCACCTTCATCACCATCAGTACAGCACAGCCACATAATTCATGATCTTCATCATTCGAGTTGTAGTATACTTCACTGGTGAGTACGCATATAGAATTTTATATGTTGTTAAAATTACATAGGTTTAAGAGTGTAGAAAGTGTTTAAGAGCGTATGAAGGGTTTAAAAGAGTGTGGGAAAGGTTAATAAGAGAGTGGGAAAGGTTTATAGGAGTGTGGGAAAGGTTTATAAAGCCTTAAAATATATATAAATAATAAAGTAAATATAACGCCACTACTTTGCGGATTTTCACCTGTCTCAAGAGTCTCTGGAATGTAACTCCCTCGATAGGTGAGGGATCACTGTATATTAAATGGAATATTATTCAGCTACCAAAACAATGAAATCCATTTGTGACAATGTGAATGGACCTAGGGGTTTTCCAAATATAATAAAAAATATTTATTTATTTATTTGTTTGTTTATTTATTTATTTATTTATTTATTTTTCAAAACAAAAATAAAAAAAAAAAAAAAAAAAGAATGGAGAAGAGAGGGAGGGAGACAGAAATATCCATCAGTTGGTTCTCACATGATCTAACAGGGGACCTAACCTGCAACCCAGGCATGTAGCCTGACTGGGAATCAAACCTGCGACTTTTTGCTTTGCAGGATGATGCCCAACCCCATGAGCCACTCCAGTAAGGCCTGTTTTTTTGCTAAGAAATAAGTCAGGCAAAGAAAGTCAAGTACCAATGATTTCACTTATATGTGGAATCTAAGAAACAAAATAACCAACAAAACAAAAACAGGCTGGTGAGACACAAGAAATGACACTGCAGGTTGCCAGAGGGGTGGGTATCGGGGGTGAGGCGAAGGAGGTGGAAGGACCGAGAAGCACAGACTGGTGGCTACAGAACAGCCACAGGCCACGAGGACCATGGTCACTGATACTGCAGTGACTAAGTATGGTGCCAGGCGGGTACTAGACATATCGAGGGGAACACTTCATAAGTAATGGAAACACTTTGTAAATTGTGTAAAAGTCTCACATTCAATACCGTATTTCATACATATTACATATGAAATACGGTATTGAATGTTAACTCTAGTTTTAAAAAAATTAAGAGAATTGGCTGATGCATCAATTTCCTCGTTAATAGCCAGAATTGCTATTTTTATTTTAAAATAATAAAAATATGTACATGGTGGGGCAAAAGTAGGCTTACAGTTGTGAGTATGCAAAACCCAGAGTTTATTCATGTATTATTAAGTATTGTGCTATTTTCCATATGAACAACTAAACCTACTTTTGCCCTGCCCTGTATTGGTGTCTGCAGAGAGAACCTGGAGGAATGTATACCAGGCAGTTAGCAGTGGTCTTCTCCATGGGTAGGTTTATAGAAGACTAATGTCCATCTGCACACTAGGTCCCCAATGTCCTAATTTTAAAATAATCAACTTACCAGTTTGCAATCAGGTATATAAACAACTTAAAGTGATGTGAACCCACACACACCACGGTGTCCACCCCTGACCTGCTGCCTGTTCTGTTGGCTCCACCGTGGAGCATCCAGAACCCGCCTCTTCTCCTCAGCCCCGTGCACCCACCAGCTGTCAGCCTCCACCTTAGAGCCTAACTCCTGGGGCCCCTCTGGCCCGCTCCCTGCTCTGTGATCCCTGACATGCTCAGGGTGACGCCCACCCCCACCGCCCCCGCTGCTCTGTGCTTCTCCTGAGCTCCAGCCGCACAGACAGGACTGCTCCCTTACTAGGCAGGACCCCTCTGGGTTTGGCTCTGGCATGTGGTGGGCAGTTGTCCTACTGGGCTGGGACAGTGGAGCAGGTCCCTCCCTTCTCCCTCCTGTTGGTGGCACTGTCCTCTCTTGGAGACTCTGCTGCTGAGATGGGGTGTATAGGAAGGGAGATGACTTGCTAGGGTCCTGCGGACGTTCAGGGGTCCCATACACTGCAGGGCATAAGCAGCCTTCCTGTGTTCCACCCTCTGTAAACCAGCAGCAACTGCCCCCCCCCCCCATTTTTACACCCCACACATCCCAGTACATTGTCCAATGTCCCTGGGCAGGGGCTGAGAACCCCTGTCCTAGACTGATGGGAATGCAGAGAAAGGGGCCAGACTCAGCCACAACCATGAAGAGCACTGTCCAGCCAGGGCTCCAGGGGAGTCCCCCCTCGGGGACTGCCTGGAGTCTAGGGCATAATGTCCTGGGGGCTGTGACTGTGCGGGTGGGTGAGGCCCTCAGAAGTCCACGTGCGGCTTTCTGCACCAGCGCCTTCAGATGCCCCGTGCTGTACTCTGACCATGCCTACCTTAGGGGGTTTGAATGGGTAATCTGTGGGAAAGTGGATGTTCAGGAAGAAAACGCCTCCTTGGTATGGGCTGTCATTCTGGAAGGATGAGACACAGGAGGCAGATTAGCGTGCACAGAAGTGTCCAGGGAGGAAGTGGATGGGGTGGTGCTCGGCAGCTACTACCTACCGGGCCGGTGATGGTGGCCTGCCAGTAGAACCCTACAAGAAAAAGAGGGGTGGGTGTCAGAGACTCCCCACAAAGTGTCCACCTCACCCCAGAAGCTGCTCCTGACACAAGTGTGTCCCAGGGGCCCCAGAAGCGCCAAGACTCCCAGACGCTCTGCAGATCTGTGTGCAGTTAATGGCTTATCACTAGGTAGGCTGCAGAGGAGCACTGGCTGAGGGAGAAGCTCACAGACACATCCAAATGGAGCCAAAACTGTCCTCTGCTCTAAAGTCAGGATGTGTCACCATCCTGGCATCAACATGTGACAATGTGCAGAGGACTGGCTGCAGGGGAAGTTCCTCAGTCATCATGACTGATAAATGGACTGCCCATGAAGCTGATCTATGTCTAGTCCCCCTGGGCATGACCTACAAGCCCTGGCGGAAACCGTGTGGCTGGTCTCCCTAAACCATGCTCTTGGTGTGGCTCAGAGCCCCCGGACAGACAGGCAGTCCTGTCAGGCAGAACATCTCAGAGATCCCCTCCCAGAGGCAAGGCTAAAAGCCAGACTTTTTTTTTTTTTTACAGTAAATTCTTCACTACCGAAGTGCCAGTAACCTATAGTTCTCTCTTCTCTTTGCACAGAATTAAGCCTTGGGTTGGCTTCAGCCACCTTCCATATTTCTTTTTATGTATCTCTTATACTCCTTCCTTTTTCCCTGGGTTCAGTCTGAAGCCAAGGGTCTCCTTTCAGGCGCCAATGCCCATGACCCTGGGGCCGTGACAGGCTACCCGCCATGCTGTCCTCTCCCACACCAGCCCTGGCAGTGCCCAAGGTCTGGGGACTTAATGACAGGCCGACTATAAGCCTCTCTTGTTCTTCCTTCCCTCCTCTCTCTTTTAAAAAAATCCTCGGCCGAGGACATTTTTTTCATTGCTTTTAGAAAGATAGGAAGGGACAGAGAGACACACAGATGTGAGAGAGAGGCATCAACTGGTTGCCTAAGGTACAGGCCTGGACCAGGGATCAAACCCACAACCCTTGGGCTGTGGGAATATGCTCTAACCCACAGCCACACTGGCCAGGGCTTCCCTTCTCTTGCAGCACGTCAGGCCTGGGGCTCTCTCTGGCATCTCAGGCTGCTTGTACTGCCCTACCCAGCCCTGGAGGAGCTCTTGTGCATTGCGCAAAGCTGGCCTGGGGGGACCAGTGACTTACCACCAAACTCTCGGGACAATGGTCTTTGTGGAAAGTGCCTACTTGCCCAAGGAGTGGGCTGCTGAGACCACCCAGAGGGTGTGTTACCCTCTAGGGAATTCTGTCTTATGGCTCTGTGATGGTGTGGAAGTTGCCCAAGGGTTCAGACCTGCCCTGGGCTCCTGCCACCTGGCCAAATACCTCACGGACTGTCCCTCAACAGCAGGACAGGAAATAGCCAAGGCATAAGGATGGGCGAGCGCAGAGACCGAAGGGGATGTTCCCCAGACTCCGAGAGGGGCTCAAAGACAATCAGGGTAGCCCAGGACCTGCTCAGTCCTTCAAGAAAGTGGTATGACAGAGCACACCTCTACCTGCAACAAGGCTGCCTGAGCTGACCAAAGTGTCACTACTTTTGCTTTTGACTATTTTTTTTTTGCCAACTCATGCTAATTATTAGCTGTGGTTGGCAGGTAGACATACTTTTCCCTAATAAAACTACAGATTGAACCCTTAATTGAATGGTTTTGATGACTAACATACCAGAGACTGGGAGCCCATAATTAGAGATTTTGGAGAGTAGATAATAAAGGTGGTTCCTTCTGATGAACAGGTTGGGAGTCTCTGGTCCTGTCACTTGAACTCCTGAGGGCTATGGGGGGCTAAGCAGGGTTTAGTGGTGTGGTCAGAAGAGAGGGCCCCAAAAGAGAGCCAGAGAGAGGAAACTGGGAGGGCTCTTGAAAAGGGGCTGTTTGCCCACAGGGAGGCAGGAAATGGCCCCAATGGTGAGCTGTGTCCAAGGCCGCACACAGCTCATCCTTGGAGGTGCTGAGCAGGGAGGGGACCTGGGCACCTTCCAGGAATGCTGCTGCCTCCTGCAGGAGCCACTGTGAAGGGGAGAAAGCTCGGTGCAGGGCAGGCTGAGGGTGCTGCTAGGAAGCTGGGCTGAGTCCGGACCAGCTCAGTCTTACCAGCCACCCTAGTTCAGCATCGTTGTCACCGATAATAGGGAGAAATATGCTACAGAAGCCTGGGGTACTTGGAAAGACAGCATGGATCAGGTGACAAGCAGGACCAGGAAACAGAAGTGCCACAGCCACCTTGTGCATCAGACTGTCACACACATCTTCCCACCTCCCCTCTCAGTGCCCCTCCCGCCCACCCCAGGTGCTCTGAGCCACACGCAGCCCACAGCACATGCATGTGACAGCACCCCCCTTTCCTTCCAGCTTTGTGGGACTGCTCTCTCTTTACTGCAGTAACACAGATGTCACAAAATGGGGATGAGATAGAGCCACAGGGACGGGTGGTGGTGGTGGCTGCACAGCAGCGTGAATGTTTTTGACAAGGCTGTGTAAGAGAGGCTGGTTAAGATGGTAAACTCTGTAATGTGCATTTTAACACAATAGAAAAACCATTGAACATCATCTTGGCCAACTGAAGTGAATCAGTGCTGTCCAGCCACCACCACTACCCATTCTGACAAACCTTTCATGGCTCCAGGCAGAAATCCTATACCATTTCCACTCCTCAGCCCCATGGACCACGGTCCACCTTCTGTCTCCCTGCACTGGCCTAGTGTAGAGATGTCATAGGACTGGAACCACATGCTAATCCTTTTGTGTGTGACTTGTATGACAAGCATGTTTTCAAGGCTCATCCTTGTCACAGCACATCTTTTCTATGGTTAAACTGCATGCTGTACACCTACGCCGCATTTGTTCACTCTTTCATCTTGAGGACGGGCACCGAGGCCTTTGGGTGACTGTGAGTGAGGGTGCAATGCGTGTTGGCACACAACTTCTGTGTGAGTCCCTATTTTCAGGTCTCAGGTGTCTGTGGAGGATACAGTCCCTCTTTGACACCAGCTCACAATGAAGACAAGGGAGTGTGGAGGCAGAGCATACACTTGGAGAGCCCACACGCCGCGCAGCACGGCCTTGACCGGTCAGCTGTAAAGGGGAGCAGGGGGCCGGCCAGTGCTCCACTGGGAGGAATAGAAATGAGAGAAAAGCTCCAGTACTGCCCTCCCCTTGGCAGAGGCAAGGGTCATGCCTCATGCAGCAGCAGGTCCTCTACCACCAACTTCATGACTGTTTTTACCATTCATGACCATTTCAAGACCACAAGTTTTTGTTGGCCAGAGGCACTTTGCAAAAGCCAATGTGCTTCAGGACAGGCTGGCTTTCTAGTGACCCAGTGGAGGGAGGTGGTAATTTCAGGCACTATCTTAATCAGCCAGACTGTGAACTCAATGCATCTAATGAAAAATCAGTTCACAAGCAAATGAGGGAAAGCAACAGGTTTTCTTTAAAAAAGCGTTGGACTCATCAATTTGGGGGTCTTGGTTGAAAGCTCCTGAGATCTGGAGCCTGAAAGATACTTACAATCATCTCCCACAGGTCCTGCGGAGCACTGGGCTGGAGGGTCCCTCTGCAGGTCTGTTAATTCCTGGAACACAAGAAGTGGGCCCAGAGTCGGTGTGTGCTGGGATGCTGCTCTGCACCCCACACCTCTGGGACAGAAGTGCACTCTCCTAGTGGGAGGGGCTCCTAGGCCTCAGGAGGGGGCTGGCCTGGCTAATGAACATGACAGCCCTGAAGGTCTGCTCATGGCTGAGAAGACACCTGACAAGTATGTGTTATCATTTCTATTCTGTAAGTCAGGATATGTAATTGAAATGTAAAGAGATTAAGTTGCTAATGCAAGGTCACAAAGCTGAGCGGGCAGGGCTAAGAGTTCTGTATGTGTGCCTCCCCTCAAGCCTCCTCCCTTACCCACACAAGTGGAGAAGGGCAAGGTTTTAGCTCTGAGCTTCCGAATTAGTGCGTGGAAGCACTGATCCCAGAGCAGGTGCTCAATTAAGGACAGAACTCCTGTGTTTCAATCTCCTTCTCCCTCCCACCCGAACCACCACTGGGTGTGTGGCTGTCCCAGGGCTCTTAGTAGGAGACTAAGGGCATGTGAGTCAGCCTAGCACAGCCACCCCGTGTACCTGCATAAAAAAGGGAATGACACTACAGCTAGTTCCCTTTACGGGACACTAACTTCTGGCCTCAATGCCCAAGTTACCCTGGTCCAGCATGAGCCTCAAAGCCCAAGATTTTGCGCAGCGACTCTCAAACTTCAGCTTGCATATATGAACATGTTTCCTAATAATTCTCCATCCTCCCAGGTTCCAGACAGATCTGGGTAAACTTTTGGGGATTTCCAGAGAGGTTCTAAAGCACAGGAAGGAGGCACCCACCACAGTCCATCAAGTGCCAGGGAGACTCCTCAGGGGATGAAAACTCCAGGGTCTGGAGAACATGCACACATTTCAAACCTGGTTGTTGACACTCCTACCGGAACGAGCCTGAAAATGAGCTCAGGCACAAAGACCCTTCTGATCCCACCTGGTGACTCGGAGCATGCTGACTATTGTAGTTGCCCCCCTCCCTGCTCTCTGGCCACCAGAGCTTGCCCCACTCCCCCTGAAATACTGGCCATGAAGTAGTGTTTACACCACATTAGCCAGCAAGCAATACAAATCAGGGCTACATTTTACTGGAGGGTCGGTTTACAAACACCTACCACTTCTCAGTATCTAATATGTCCAAGTAAGTTGCCCTTGGTAGGCAGGTAGTAAGCAGCATTAGTAGTTGTCACAATAGAGATGAACTTGGGCAACAACTAAGGTCACATGAGGGGACCAGAGGACAGGCTTATAGATACAGGGCGGCTACAGACCTCAGCACCCCACACCACATGCAATGCTGAGAGAAAGGCTGTCAGGGTAAGTCCTGGTCATACTACCTGCAGAGGAGGACACGACTCACCAAGTTCCCCCACCCCTCTGCGCGTATGCATGGGCTGTCCCGTCTTTAGATCGCTAGTCCCTCTTTAGGGGTGTGGTGAGTGGTTACTAAGATGGGGCTTCCTGAAAGACTGTGAGTCTTGATAGACTCTAACTGATATGGGAAGTTTTGAAGAACCTTTGTTTAACCTTTATTTGCCCAGGCCCCAAGCGCCCTAGGGAGAATGATGGGGCTGTCTAGGATAAGTAAACAACAGTGCATTAGCCAGGACTGAGATTAACACCCCTGCTGTTAAAAAGTGACCCTCGAATTTAGCCTTTGTACTCTGCTTCTGCCCCACAGCTAGAACTAATTTTCACATTCCGCTTCTGTATCCCGCTTTGCTACGTAGACAAGAAGACCCTGTAAACGGTAAAAACCCCAAGAATCCTTTGTTCAGGGCTCAGAATTTGGAGATTGACTCCTCTGGGCCCCTACAGGTTAATAAAACTTCGTACTCCAGAAACCCTCGGTATCTGGTTGCTTCATTTTCCTGCAACATAACCAGCACGGAGAAGTTTCAAATGCTAACTGGGATTTTTAGGAAGCACTCTGTGATTTGAAAAATACAGATCCAAACATTCCCGCGCTTGCCTTAAAGGAGACACTCACCGGAACATAGAAGAGCCCAGCGGCAGCCTGCTGGCCCCGCCCCATGGACGCAGGCACCACGTGACACAGGCCCCGCCCCCAGCAGGACGCTATCACCGCTTCTGCCGCCTGGCCCCCTCCTGTCCTTCACACACCAAACCATTTTAAAATTTACTTATTTTTTTACTTATTTATAGAGAGAGAGGGAGCGAGAGAAGGGGGAGTAGGAGACAGAAACATTGATTTGCAGTTCCTCTTATCTGTGTATTCACTGGCTGCTTTAGTTTGTGTCCTGCACAGGGCTGTGCCCGCAACTGCGGGGTAAACAGACCGCGCTGCCACCCACGGATCCCCAGCCTAGGGCCCTAGCCCCGCCCCCTTAAGGCTGGGCCAGCGGCGGTTCCGCCTCCCTCACTACAGCCAACGGCGGTCGCCGAACGGCTGTGACCAACCGGCCCTCGAAAGACACTTCACATTCGCAAGGAGCTTGAGGACCGGAAGGCTCCTGACCTTCTGGATCCGCTTCAGCGCCATTCTTTCCCTGTTGCCGGGGACCGGGCAGCCGGCTCAGGGCTGCCAGAGGCTGCCCGTTGTCGCCTCCACTGCCGCCGCCGTGCCGCGCCGCGCCGTCAGGGGGAACGGCTGCCCGAGCGCGGGCGTCGCGGGGCAATGTGGGTCGGCGTCCGCCTGGGGGCGCCGCGGGGCACTGTGGAGCTGCGGCCTGCGGTCTGGGGGAGGTGGGTGGGGAGTAACGGGACGGCAGCTGTGCTCTCCGTGCCCGCTTCTGGGCACCTTCCCCAGCTGTGAAAGCCCTGCCTCGAACTTGATTCTGTCAAGTGTTCACAGCCTTTTAAGTAGTAGGTGTCAAATGTATTCCATTTGTTTCCATAGAAACACAAGGAACTCCACGGAGTACTCAGAGGGCCTGGAGGTGCGCGTTTCCAGCCCTGTGCAGATGATTTTGGTGCGGCCATAAACCCACCAATCCGAACTTAGGTCTCTGTCCCCTTTCCCTTTTCCCAACGCCTGCAGGCATGTAGGACTGAGCTTTACAAACTGGGTTAGGAACAATTAGTGTGTCACGAAGTAAGTTCAATGGGTTGCAACCAAAATTAAAAAAAAAAGAAAAAAAAATCAAGTCCTGGCGTGTGTGGCTCAGTGGCTTGAGCACGGGCCTACCAACCAAAGGGTCACGGGTTCAGTTCCCAGTCAGGGCACATGCATAGGTTGCAGGTCAGGTCTCCAGTAGGGGGTGCGTGAGGCAACCACACATTATAAAATCTTTAAAAAAGTAAATATAAAATAGAGTACAAAAATCAGGGGCTCTCACATTGTAAAGATTTTGGAAGTTCTATTCTGTATGAGTATAAAGAGTGATCCTCCAAACTTAGACACCTTTGAGACTGAAGTGAGGTGCAGTGTAACTACACTAGGACCAGAGGTGTGCCCTGAGGCTGCCTCTGGCCAAATAGGACATGTGGTCACCTACACATGTGTACACGAGGTACAGACATGTCCATGGGCCGTTTGCCAAGTCCCCGGCTTCCATTCTCTCATTCCTCCAACCTCTCTTACACACAACTTCGTGAACTGTCCCTCTAAAAGGTACATCATCATGCATCCTTGCCCAAAACTACAAGGAAGCCCTGTGGCCTACAAGGATCGCATCCACTGTCATTTAAGGCCCTTCAGCATCAGAAGTGTCCTGCTGGGCTAGGAAACGATCGTTTCCATCACTGCCCCCACTGTATTTCTTCATTTGTGGCTGCCCTCTGTCTGGAAAGACTCCTTTTTTCCCCCCTAAAACAGAGCCATCACTCACCTTGCAAACCCAGTTCAAGTGTCACCCACATGTGCCCCTCCCCCCTGCAATGGCTCTGATAGAGCTCCTTTTCTTGTTACTGTGCAACATAAATTCCTGTCTGTCATGACTCATCATACACACTTTGTTTACACAGCTGTGACCCTGTGGAACAAATGATCCTACATTTCCCTGTGTTTACGTATTCCTGTGGAAGACAGACCTCAATTTCAATGATGGTTATCTCTGGACGGTGACTTTACTAATGATATTAACTTCCAAAATTCACTCAGAATTTGCAACACTTGTTCATCAGAGAGAAAGGAAAGAAATTTGTGTTGAATAGCAATTAAAATTTCATTTCTACTTTCTGTTGGTAGTCTAGCATATATTTCTCTAACCTTTTAGTACATAATGTTCTATTTTGAAATAATTTTATTTAAAACGTTTTTATTGATTTTTTTAGAGAGAGGAGGAGAAACAGATTTGTTGTTCCACTTATGCATTCTTTGGTTGCTTCTTAAATCTTTTTTAATGTATTGATTTCAGAGAGAGAGAGAGGAAGGGGGGGGCAGAGGGGGGAAAACCCCATTGATCTGTTGCTCCACGTACCCATGCGTTCATGGATTGCTCCTTGCACGTGTGCCTGGCTGGAGATGGAAGCCACGACCCAGGTGTATCTGGACAGTGCTCTAAACAACTGAGCAACCCAGCCAGGGCTATGGTTTGCTTCTTGTATGTGCCCTGACCAGGGATCCAACCCGCAACCTGGGCGACTGGAATGACACTCTAACCAGGTAACTGAGCTACTTGGCCAGGGCTGGAAGTAATCTTAGAAGTACCAAACTGTTGCAAATATTAAAAAAGATTTTACAATTGATAATTAGACTTCAAAAAATTTAAAACTTTTGTGCTTTAAACAGCACCATCAAGGAAGCAGAAAGATCCCACAGAACAGGAGCAAGCATTTGGTGAGCAGAATACTTAAAGGAACTCTTAGAACTTAAAAAAGAAAAAACTGGGCAAAGAATCTGAATGGAAATTTCTTTTAAAAATAGTGATTAAGCACATTAAACAAAAAAGGTCAACTTCATTAACCATTAGAGAAATGGAAATCAAAGGCACAGTTAGATACAACTTCACATCCTCTTTCATGGCTGTAATCAGAAGGGCAGGCAATTACAATTTTACTGAGGATGTAGAGATGGAGCCCTCACACTTTCACTGGCGGGAATGCAAAATGGTGCAGCTACTTCAGAAAAGTTTAGCAGTTCCTTAAAAAGTTACACACAATTGTATGACCTAGCAGTTCCATTCTTAGGTATATACCCAAGAGAAAATAAAACATGTCCATACAGAAACTTAAACACATGTGTTTACAAGGTGCATTTTTCATTCTAGTCAATACGGTCAAAACAACCCAAATATTGGCTGGATAAACAAGAATGTGATATAGTCACACAATGGAATCTTTTTGGCAATAAGAAGGAATAAAGTACCACTACAGCATGGATATATGGGATTACTGGGATCATCATAATCAAGTGTCACAAACTGTGGCTTAACAGAAATATACCATCTCACAGTTTGGAGGCTAGAAGTTTGAAATCAAGGTGTTGGCAGGGTTGGCCCCTCTGAGGGCTGGGAGGGAGACTCTTGCAAGCCTCTCTTTCAGCTCCTGGGCCTCAGGCTTCCTGGGCTTGTAGACTGTGTCCTTCTCCTGTCTTCAGGTCACCCTCATGTCCATCTCTGTGTCCAGGCTCCCCCTTCTTATAAGAACTCAGTCATGTTGGGTTGGGCCCTCTTATTACCTCATCTTACCTTGCTGTCTGCAAAGACCCAATTTTCAAATGAATTCACATTCACAGATACTGGGCATTTGGATTTCCAAATCTCTTTTTGGGAGGGGAGACACAGTTCAAATATAACAGGGGATAAACTTTGAAAACATTATGCAAAGGTCAAATATTGTATGATTCCATTTATATGGAATGTTCAGAATAGGCAACTCTATAAAGACAGAAGGTAGCTCAGTGGTCGCTTAGGGCTGAGGGAGTCGGGAAATAGTGATTACTCACAGGAAAATCTGTCTATGAAGCTCTTTAAAATGTAAGAACAACAATGCACAGAGTTTCTGTACACCCTTTACCCAGCTCATCGCCACACTACTGTATTGTAGGATTGTGACAGAATTATCCAGAACATTAACATCTGTACAGTGCTATGAACTGTTTACAGACCTTACTCCAATCTCACTAACTTCCTGTGTCCTTTCTTGGTGCAGGATCCAACTGAGGATGAGGCATCTGTTCATCCTGCCACTTTAGCCTCCTGCAATTTTAAACAATTCATTACTGTTTCTTTGTCTTTTGACACTTTTGAAGTATTGGAAAGTCATTTTATAGCATGTCCCTCCATCTGGGTGTTCTGGTTGAGGAGGCTGAAGTCACGTGTTTGCAGGAGACTGTGGCAGCAGTGACGAGTGCCCTTCTTGGTGAATCAGGCGGTTCAGAGGGTGCATGGCATCAAGTATGGCAGGGTAAGTCTGAGCACTTTGTTGGTATTTCTCCGATTTCTCCATTGTAAAGTTTTAAAAATCTCATTTTAAATAAGTGGCTTGTGGGGAGAAACTTTGAGACTTGTACTAATAAATTTTTTTTTAAAAGATTTTTAAACTTATTTTTAGAGAGGGGGAGAGAGAAACATCAATGTGTGGTTGTCTCTCATGCACCCCCCCACCATGGAGCTGATCTGAAACCCAGGCATGTGCCCTGACTGGGAATCGAACCAACAACCCTTTGATTCCCAGGCCAGTGCTCAGTCCACTGAGCCACACCAGCCAGGGCAGCAAATACCTTATTTTTTATCATACTTTCATCCGCGAATTTTAAACGCCATTCCTTCCTATAGCAGTGATTAATGTGATATTTACCAGGTGGTCATTTCCTATTTCTAATTCACTTGCTGCATTTGTTAAGTGGCATGTTACTGAAAGGAAGAGCTGCCCTTTCTCCCCCATTTACTTATATTGTTTATGTAAGTATGGACTCCTGGTACTTGTGCTGTGTCATCGCACCTGTGTTGTTCCATTCGTCTCAGATTTGGTCCCTGAGAGGTGGTGAGAGGGCCTCTGGGATGGCCCTGAAACGTGGAGAAGGAAGCCGGCCCCCGGCCATCCCTTCTCATGCTCAGGCCCCTGTGTAAGCTCCTCTCCTTGAGTGGGGGCTGGGCATAGTGGTATTTCTAGTGATTAGGAAAGGTGCTGAGATATCACTTCTTGGATGAGGGTACAGAGAAGACTGGCTTCCACTTTTGGCCACTTCTCTCCTCTGCTTCTCCTGATGGGAGCTGGGGCTGTGCTGTGAGCTGCCCTCTGCAGATGCCCTGCAGCATGGAACAGGTCGAGGACTCCCTGAAACAGCTGGGAATGACTGAGGCCTTCAGTCCAAGCCCCTCAAAACCTAATCCTGTTGACAGTTTGATGGAGCTGGGAAGCAAATCCTTCCCTGTTCACGTGTTGAGATAATCCTGGCTGACAGCCTGACTACCATCCCCTGAAAAACACTGAGCCAGAGGAACTTGATTAGTTTACTGTGACTTCCATAAGAACACTACCAACTGGGAAGTTTACAGTGCAGCATGTTTCCTAAGAGCTCTGGAGGGCGAAGGTCCAAGAGCAGGGTTTTGTCCACCATGGTTTCTGGTGTATGCATAGCACTGTTCTCACTTTATGTCCACACAGCCATTCCTTGGTGCATGCACACAGGGAGCGGTGGGCGGGCAGAGTGC